CCTGGTCGAGCCGGACTAAAAGTTTAGACTTGAGTTCATCCAAAACGACTTCGCCGAAGAGGCTAATCCATATCACTCGTTAGGTTATAACGCCCAGGGAGCCTAACAATGGTAGCGTTGAGTACTTCTATGGCTCTGGTCCCAGTACAACCGGCCGTGTGCAGTTTGCCACGATGATTGATACTGGGGGCCAGACGGAGCACATAGAGACCGCTGGATTTGTGAGTGAAGTATATGGCCCTTGGCAATACCTTTGGCCATGGAACCCACGTCGCCAGCAACATTGGGGTCCGGACAGTCGGCATCGCGAAGAACGCCACTTCGGTCTAGATGGAAGCGATCTGGGGGCACCGGCAACGTGACTTTGACACAGGTGCTAAGCATTAGCCCTCCCGTCTGCCTGGCCAAGGTCTGTGTTCAGGCTAACCACGAAGCGGTCAATCCTGCTGTGATAGACCTGTCCTTCGGAAGACAGGTGTTGTTCGAGTTCGAGAGCATGGCCAAGCTGACCAGCGCGGCATACCGCCACGCGGTTCTCGGAGTAGCGGCAACGGGCAGCGGACAACGACATCGTTTCATACAAGCGCAGAACACCAGGGAAGATCCCCAACTCCTTGAACGCTGCCACGTCCGACGAAGCCGACAAACTTGCCTCCCAGTCGAATCGGGGCTCTGGGTGTTGATGCTCGTGCTCCGGGTTCTGATATACATTTTGCATGCGTGAGAGGCAAAACGTCAGCGTGGTTCAACGGCACGAGCATGCCGACGTCACATCTAGCAAGTAAGTGTTGGTGGCGTGTCTCGGGACAGTAAGCGCGGACGCGTCGAATGTATATGTTGCAGCAAAATTGTAGATGATCAAAGATATGGCGCTCAATACCCGGGGATCTCCTAAATTGTTGATCATTAAAGCAACAGCGCTCCATCAGAGATACGCGGATCTCGACTCGAAACGCCCGAGGACAGACAGGAGGAAGAGCGAGGCCTGGTCCCGAACCTGTTGAATTAGTTCGCTTTAGCCGGCGCCGGCTCGGCGTACGGCACCGATTGCCCCAACCAACGGGTCAGTCATCGCTTGGAGTTGCTTACCAGTTGACATCATCTCGCTGTTTAGACGAGGGCGTGTTGATAGATCGATTTTAAGGGCCAAGCAGCTACACAGAGGAAGAGACATCAAAGAATGCAGGCCACGGTTGCTTCAGTCGGACCACTTACCGACCGGTAACTTTTGGGACGGACTATCAATAGTCTCGCACCGTGGCGCAATGGTAATACATGGACCCTGACTGGAACCGCTGGGCAGCATGTTCTCGAGGCCAAACCACGCAGTGGCTCGCTGGACAAGGGGCAATCGCATCGGTATGTAGAGGGAGAACAGCTGTGATGTCCCAAGGTGGATAGAGAGCCATTGGGCCGTTCGCCCAACTGAGATTGGACAACACGCATGCCGCGGCAACGTCTCGTGGCCCTAACTGATCCATGCATTTGCACACCTGCCAGCAAAGAGATGGCAGGCGGAGCAGATCAAGCACCACAGCATTGCGGCTAGGGTGAAGGCCTCCATTCTGCAACCCAAAGGCACTACCAGGTGAAGATCTACCCCGAAGGATCGAACACGCTTCCGCCTCGCACAAACATCCGGGCGGCAGAGAATGTGCTACCCCGGGACTAAGAGGAACAAAAGGACGCAATCCTGGGGAAATCCAGGAACGCCGCGTGAAGGAATGGTTGGGCGATCAGAAGGAGGCTCAAAAGATCGGGGGTCTAGTATCCGGCTTATAGCGTTGAGGTAGTCGGTGGCCGTGGGAGCCATTGGCTGAAATGAACGACGACGGGCCTTGCGAGGCGCGTGTGAGCAACCCCAAGTGCTGTAAGCGCAGTAGTGCGAGGAGCGCAGCAGCAGCGAAGCGCATGGGGATAGCTTGCATTGTACCACGCTGACCACGGCGGGAGCTTGGGTTCCGCGGGAGGACTTGTTCCACAGGGCACCATCCTCCAGCTGCATGTGCGATCCTGCTGGAGCATCGTCACACAGCACTCGAGGACAGGCACATGCTTCTTCCCCCTGTGACAGCCGTGGCCGAGCTGTCCGCGCGTCAGATTAAGAATATTGGGGGCCATCTTGTAACTGTGAAAAAGACAAAAAGACCATCCCTTGCAGGAGACGTTGGGCAGTTCGGGTGTGACAGGACGGTAGTCTGACTGCAGGGATGCTCAAACCACCTCGCCCGGCCCTTGCGGGAGTGGTTCGTCCAGGGGTGGTGTCCAGGCGATCGGAAAGATTCGGGAGCGCTCTGGGGAAATCGGGCTGCATTGCAAGGGTGTTTTGCGGAGAGAATCTGGGGAAAATGGAGTTTGGGACTCAATGCCGACGTCAATTGACCATCTGTAATGGAGAATGTGCCTTTTTGACGCCCAAGTTCTGTCAAACATGTTCCAGAATGTGGTGTTGATGGAAGTTGATGCTACAGGCAGGGCACCCAGCCCCGGGCGAAAATGGGACACTGAGCAGTGCCGTGCTGTAGCAGCCGAGATGACGGAAGCTGCAGTGCTCTCTCTCTCGGTCCCGTTGCGAAATAGGGCCCAGAGCTTCCCACCTCCGGCCGAAGGTACGTACCTTTGGGGGGCACATTTTGGGGCAAAACACAACTCAGCAGCCCACATGCACCTGCTGTTACCAGGCTCCGATTTCTCGACATCGGGGCTTTCTTTTGCTTCGTGCTCCGTCCACGCAGCTGCTTCCTTCCTGCCGCGTCCTGCAGCCGCCCATCAGCAGCCGCCTGCAGATGGGAACAACGTCGGTGGCGATCGACAAAATCTTGTTCGGGTGCAGGGTGTGTGGGCACTTGCAAAATTTTACAACTTCGCCAATGGCGCACAGCTGGTGCTGGGCCAAGTTTCTGGTGCTGGCGACCGAACTTCGCTGCGGGTGGAGTCTGTCTGATCCCGGCCGACGGCGCCAGCAGGGCTGTTCCGTGACAGTTGGCTTTCGGCCCTTTGTCCAGGGCAGGCATCCCAGACCTGTGCCGCCAACCTATGGGGCCCGGGCGGTCATTGCTCATCGTCGCGAGGTGTGGAGACCAATCCGTGCTTTACTGATTGGGTATGTGTTGACGGTGCCAGGGGGCCGGCGATTGGCCCGAAATAATCCCATGAACCGAATCAGTTGCTGAGCATTGTTCCCACCCGTCGTCACCTTTGATACATTCGAATACAGCCCGTCGTCGTCTTCGAGATGATGATGATGATGATTGATGACTTGTCAGATGGAGACCTCCGAGCTCCTGTCAAGGATCTTTGCTATGGTGCACATACAGGCCACGAGGTTTCACCCGGTGCACCGCATCGGACCCCGAGAGGTGCACCTGGGCCCTTCCAAATCATGAAGCTGACGCAGGAGCCTCGCTTGCATTCCAAAGCGGCGTGCTCAGCCATAATTGTCAACCTCCCAGCGCTTGAGGTACGTACTGTATGCCTTGCCTCGATGCCGGATGCATCTTGTCTCGCTCCAAGAGTTGCAGGTCGACAGGCCAACGTCACAAATGATCTTGCATGTCCCCGAGCGTTGAAACTTTGTCGACGGCCTCAGCCGCCGCCAAGTTTGCCGAGCCAAGGGACAAACGTAGGCCGCCTCGTCCCGTACACGCAAACGTCTGCAATATCAGACGCCAATATTGTCGTGACGCCCTGGTTCCTCAATTTCGGGGGTTCGAAACGAAACATGTTGCCCGGTAAAATTAGAAAGGCCAGATACGCTTCACAGACTGCCGGAGTATCAAGAGGTGATTGTCCTCGGCGCCAAGGTGCTTGTACGTGTCCCTTGAGAGCATATGTCTCGGTGAAAGGTTCGGGGGTGAACAGCATCACATCGTCGAGCGCGGGCTTGCGTATGAGTCGTCCACAACCGGCGGCTGTGTTTCATGCCGGCCTCTGGGCAAGGGAATACTGTGCCTGTGTGGCAACGGGGGGTTGGTACATTAATAGCGGTTCTTGGCTCCCAACGGGAGCAATCTATGTCTCGACTCGAGGAGGCTTATTTCGCCAGGTTGAGATCTCCGGAAGACTGATCCGAGCTGTATATTGGCATCTTACACGACGAGACCATTCCAGATGTCTGACCGAGAGGGCAAAGCTTGGCTAATAAACATCAGCTGGCAGGCGCATAGTGCACACGCCTCGGATATTTGGAGGGCGGTTCTGATGTGTACCGCCAGGCATTGGTTATCTTGCGAGATGCTATAATTATTCCACGGGCCATAGAGAATCTGGGGCTGGTGTGGAGTGCTTGATTTCCGTGATTGCTGTGATATTTCTGATCGTCACTGCAATCTTGGCGGGAGATTGCCTCTAGCATGAGTATTTCGTCGTGTTGACTTGACAAATTATCGGTTCATGAGTCCCCGTCTCCCAAGTGTCCAGCGTCCCCGTCTTGCTGGGAGACGGATTGAGCATGTACCGGCCAGATAAGAGCGGTCTGGGTTGAGGTCGTAGTGGTTATTAGCGGGATCCTCCTGGAGCTGCAAGGGCTAGCATGGAGCCCTGACGGAAATGCTTGGTGAAGATTGCGTTGACTAGCACCATGCAGGACAGCTGGTGAACCGCATATCGCTGATCTTAGCTGCTCCAGACTGAGCATGGCCGGTATTGTTGCTATTGTTGTCAGACGGGGCCATGGTCGGATGTGCGGGTAGGACATGCCCGTCGTACTGTGTACCTAGGTAATAAGATAGCACGACCCAACAGGCACGGTAAGTACTTTGTAGACTCGTGGCCGGCGGGTCATGATGGAGCGTCCATTGTAACATGTTCGTGGACTAAGCCATGGAAGTTCATAACACACTACTCATTCAAGCAGCGCCGCAAGATGGCCCGAGTGCAATGCTGTCAAAACGCACACAGGCGCACAGCACGCAGGACGCAGCAGGCAGCACACACAGTACAAGCAGGCCAATGAGCCACTGGATGGATGCAGACGCGGGCGCTGCGGCGTACGGAGTACCATGCCGGAAGAAGAAGCTGCAGTCCGCCGCAGGAGACAAGGCGAGGACGCCAGGGTATCCTTCGCTGGGGTGGAGCTAGGTCCAGCGACCGAGACGCGGGATGGCAGGGCCCAGGAGCTCTGGTCAGTGTCGCGGATAGATGTCGTCAAAAGACCACAAGATTAACTGCGATCTGAGTCAAAAGGCGGAAGACATGGACGGGCTGGATCTTGGATGTGGTGGATTGCATTTTGTTTCGAGACAGTAAGCACTTGGCAGGTGACACTAAGTGACCCCGTGCGGACGTGCGAAGAGCGGTTCGGGAATGCAACCTGAAGTCAGAGTGAGCTATTCAAAGAATGGTGTTTTTTTGTGTCGGTGTTGACGACACTGGGCGTGTCAAGAGGGTCTGCTGCGACACAGTAGGAAAAGGACCCCAGGGACCCAAGGGACCCAAAGCGAGAAGAGACCTAGGCTAGATGCGGTCTTGATGGGCGCTGCAATCGGGACTGGCTAGGCTGGAGGAGTAGAGTAATCCCATCGCGTATTCAGTTTTTGCTGGATTGGCCTGGTTTGGTTTTGGGGACAGACCAAGAGCGAGAGACACAGCGAGCCGCGTGAGGAACGGCGGGCCAGCAGACCACAGGCAGAGGCCGGCCAGCACAGGCCAGCAGCCCAGACAGAGCATGGGGTACAGGCGGCCACTCTGCCACTGTGCAAAGCAGGGCCTGCGAAGCTGTGACGATGCGACCCTGGACCTGGCCAAACGTGTAACTCTGCACGGGTGCATCCTATCCCATGGGCAGCCCCAAGCCATCCCAAGACAAGACTGGATCAAGAGGAAGAACCCTGCAAATAATGGGAACCCCCAAATTTGAGCCGTACAAGGCCTGCAGGCCTGGCTGCTGGTCCCACACCCAACGGCGCGGGTACTGTGGCGGTAGCGGCAAGCGGTTCAGCAGTCGCAGCCGTCGCAAGTCGCAGCTGGAGGAGTTGCAGTCGTAACCGCAAGTGACGAGTGGACGGACAAGCCACACACACACACACACACACACCCGGGCAGGGCTGGCAGCTCGGGCAGCTCGTCGAGGATTTCCCGCCCCGTCTTTCGCCTAGAACAGGCAATGAGAATGACGGAGCCGACTAGCATGGCCCTTGGCTCGAACTCTGTTGTGCTCTCGGCACCCGGCGGCTATCCCACTTGCAGCCATCGCGTCGGGGCGCAGGCAGGACTGACTTGATTGACTGACTGGTGAGTGGCCTGGGATAGCTGGACTGGATGGATACAGACAGTCCGTCAGTCAGTCATTCAGTCAGGACTCAGGACAGTATGGCCGATTGTTGTACGTACGGATGGATGGATGGATGGAGATGTAATAATGGAGCCTGCCAGGGCCCCAGAAGACCAAGAAGACCAGACGACCACGACACAAACAGCAGCTATAGTAGCCACAGCACGGAGTACCTAGGTACCTCGACACGGATGACCGCACCTAGCCTAGACCAGGCAAGACAAGACGAGACAAGCGTGCTGGGCCTGGCAGGACTGGCCGCCAGCGGGATCTCCAGGGTACTGTGGTATCTCGATTGTACACCGGCACCTGCCCACCCACAGCAAACCTGCCCTGGCCCTGGATCCGAACCTGGGCCAGGAAGCCGAAAAAGTCGAGCCGGGTCGAGTCGAGGTTTCCCCCTCTGCCGCGACCCAAGACCCAGGAGGCACACACCCCCAAGTCAAGGTCCCAGGTCCCAAGTCCCACGCCCGTGTGTTCGCCCACGCCCACACCCACGCCCACACCCACGCCCACGCCCACACACCCTTGGCACCCACCCCAACCCACCCACTCCGATCATGGTGCTGGTTCCATTCCCATTTGCATTTCCATTTGCATTTCCATTTGCATTGCCTTTTGCACCTGCCAATTCCTTGACACACACTCTCACACGCACGCGCACCCTCTCGCACCCCGTCCTCTGCTATCCTGCTAGGGGGGGCGAGGAACCTGAGAGCGAGCATTCCCAGGCCCCAGTCCCAGGCCCCAGTCCCAGTCTCCAGTCCCCAGCCTGCACCTGCACCTGCACCCAGCAAGCAGGCAAGCACGCACGCACACATACACACACACACCCACCCCTCCTCTCCAAGTCCCCAAGTCTCGTTGCTCCCACCACCCTTCCCAGCCAGCCCCGGCTCCTACTCCAGTCCCACCTGCCGCCGCCCGTTGAACAATAAAACGGTCCTTCCTCGCCCTCGACATCGCCTCCTTCCATCTCGCGCCCTCCTTTGTTTCCTGTCCTTTTCCCACCTCCGCCACCCTCATCAGCCTTGTCCAACTTTACAAGCTCCTTGTAACCTTTTCGTCGGTTGACGTTGGGTCAACGTCAGAGGACTTTGCAATCCTCTCGACTTCTCAACCCCGACTCCCGACTCTCCGGGCCTTGTGCATCGCCGGCCGTCCTCTGCCCCGAGAGACGTGCATCAAACTCACCCTTTTATATTTATATACAGTCCCGTGTGCTAGTGTGTTTGTACCGTCTATATATACGACGCATACACACCTCTTACAGACACTCCACCCTACATACATACACACACACACACACACACACACTTGTATATATCTCCCCAAACCTACCTCCCTACCTACCTATCCCTCCCCCGTCGTACAGCCAGCTCTCTCGACCGACTCGAGCCGGCCAAGCCTCACATCCACGGTCCGGCTTCTCCCAACCACGCAGCCACCGCGCTTCTCGGCTAAAGGGAATTTGATCTTCACACTGCCAAGTGACCGACCACACCGCGCGGCGCACTGACTCTTGACCACCCGAGCAACAGCAGCAAGAGCAGTCCAGTCCAGCCTGCTTGTGTTATAAAAATACACACCCACGCCCTGGCACAAGCCTGATCTGATCTGCCTTGCGCCTAGACTCTGCGCACCATCGCATCATATCGCACCCACCTGTCTTGGCTACCTAGGTAGCCGAAAGGAGGACCCGCGGCCCCCCATCGTCATTACCTGGCCTTTCCCAGGCGCGACAGGCGATCCAGCTTCGAACCTCACTCATCACCTCTTCGATCAGCTCACCAACCGGCTATCCGATGCATCTCACACATCTCACACCGCGCTTGTGAGCCTCCATATCCCCGTCGTCCTACCCGAGTTGAACAACATCCTCCGCCTGCAACTCGCACCAGTCTGAGCCAGACGAGACAGACAGACACACGCGCTCCATTTAGACCAATCTCCACTCAACCCTGCTGTTGTCCTTCTTTCCCGGCGTTTGCATCAATTTGGAGTTTTCCGGTCAGGATCACAAAAAGCCACTTTGCCAGATACCCCAGTCGAATGTTTCTTTAGACACGATACCAGACTTTTCTTTTTTCCAAATCCTCTTCACACCCGCGCGTCCAGCACGTGCACCCTTCGACATCAACTTGGACTTTCAGACCTTGGCGGGCCAGATTGTCAGTCACCTGCTCGTGGGCTGCTGCAGGTGTCATCCGAACCCCACCATTTGACAGCATCTGCAACCACGCTACCTGCAGAGCCTCATCGGTATCCAACCCCAGGACGGCCGATCGCACAACAGTTTTAAAAGACAACACATCAACAGAGAACATCATCGAAATGATAATAGACGGCGAGAAGTGGGCCTGCGAGTCCTGTGTGCGTGGCCACAGGGTCAGCAATTGCCAGCATGCGGGTGAGCAACGTCCGCGCAATACCCGCGCAAATCCCCGGCCTACGATTGCTCGCCGCGACGTCGAGCGAGCGAGCGTCGCGTTGCAGTGCAACATGCGCAGGTTGTGCCAATCTTCCATGGGAACGGGCCGCTAACATTAGGTTTCCAGATCGACCCCTGCAGCACATCAACAAGAAGGGACGGCCAGTGTCCCAGTGCTCGCACTGTCGCAACATGCGCCGCTCCAAATCAGCCCACGTCAAGTGTGACTGCGGCGAGAAAACCAGCAAATGTGTGCATTTGCAGGCGACCGTTGATGGTCACAGGGAGAGCTGCTGTTGCAACCACGGTGGTCGCTGCACCTGCTCGCACAAGAAGGAGCAGAACCAGCTCGACACAGTACCCGAGTCCGATTCAGAACAGGAGCTCAGCTCCGGCGCAAACGCCAAGGCGACCAAGCTGGTCCGGAATCGCCGGTCCAGAGCCAGCACCCAGACCTCAGACGGGATGTTGACCTTCGATGAGAACGGTCACCACAAGCCGACCTACAAGCACACCAAGGCGTCCCAGAAGTCTGGTCCCTACCAGCTCACCCGAGCGCACTCGGCGCAGAGCAGTGGCAGCGGTGGCAACTGTTCCATGGAGGACCTCGCCAATGACTCGTTAGCAAGCAGCAGCGCCAGCATCCCACAGGCGCAGGACCATTGCATGTCCAACTCCGAAACAGCTTCACCCTTGTTGACTGCTGTCTCGTCGGTCCCTCACTCCAACCCCCAGCTCCCTCCCCTGGATCTGTCAAACGTCAATGGCTGGGCCTCGGGTTCTTTCATGCCCGACAATTACGACTTCTTTAGCAACATGGACGAGCAGCAGCAGCCAATGTTCAGCGCTGGGCTGAGCCAGCCTGACGTCGACTGGAGCCACATTGGCCTTGACTTTGCTAGCAAGGACTTGGGCACCTTCGCACCGTCCAGCTACAGCCAGGCCCAGAGCTTTGCTGGATTTGAACAGCCCCCTACGCTGACCTCGGGCGAGGTGTCCGAGGTTGACGATTTCATCCGCGACGAATTTGACCCCATTGGATCCTTCACCCGCACCAACACATCGAGCACAGGATTCAGCCTCGGGACGGACCAGGAGGGCTTGCTCGGCGCCATGGAAATAGGCAACACCGACTTTGACGAATTCAGCAAGCTGGCGAAGGACGGGAGCAAGTTCGCCGCCTCCGCAGCGGCGCTTGTTTCGGACGATCCCGCACTGGCCGCCATCACTGCCTCTGGCGTTGCCGGATTCGAGAATGACCCGATATTCTGGATACCCGATGCCCCCGACTACAGTGGGATGACGGCCGTCAACGATGGTTCAGAAGTGAACGGGCCCAACTTCTGGGAAGTACAATAAGACGGTGCGGGCTAGTCACGGACTCGAGCGAACAAACTGTGTTCGCTGAACACGACCGACTGAAGGCCCTACATGGTTGGATTGGCGTTTGGGTACTGCGTTCATGGGGCTTAGTGACACGCATCGGTGCGCTTGTTGGGAGCAAAGGGGACATTTCCAAAGAACAGCAAACATGATGCGCACACGATCGGCCTTGGATGAGCTTCCTCACACGCACGCGGATGGCCACTGCGTCGACGCTGCAGCAACCGCGCCCGGATTAGTGAATTGTGGATGTTTTGATGCGCAGGCCTGTAGTGCATCAAACCCAGTGGCGATGCCAGCAAGAGAGGTTGGTTACGGACCAACAAGCCAAGCGGGAAGCAAATGCGCGAGCGATATGACCCGAGATGTATAGAGATTTGACATCCTGCATATAGATGGCTTGGTTGGCTGTAGATAGATCTGAGCCCTGTCGATTTGATCAGACAGTTGCAAAAAATAAAGTAAAATTTCAAAGTACATGTTGATATCTCTCTTCCCGCCGTGCCGCCTGCCCGCCCGCCTGCATGCACGTCTACCCTGTACCTGCATAAGTCTTGAGCAACGGGCAAGCAATCCTGCACGTCTGTTGGCGACGCAAAGTAACGTGTGTATGTACCTCGTGCATTCGGCCTTTTGGCTCGCCAACTCGCTTGCTCTACCGCAAGGGTCCCACTTTTCCCTCACGGCTGTATTCCGCCTGCCGTCTGTAAATGATATGGACGGCCGAAGCCTGCAAGAATCGTGGCCCGCTCCAATCCGACCAACCCGCTCGCCCTCGCCCACCCACCGCCCACCACAACAAAACAGATGACCATGACACAGTCAGAACGGCGTACTTTTACCTTGCTACCTACACACACACACACACACATACCGCGGTAACAACCCCAAATCCAGACCGCCCATCTGGGCGGTGCTCCAGGGGAGGGGCACCGACCAGCCCGCCCATGCCAGATGACGCCATTTGGTAGCAGCGCAGGCGTACCCTCGGAGGGGCGGGGGGGGGCCCTAATGAACCAAGTGGTCGTTCCTTCGTCGCGTTGTTGGCTGGGTCCTGTGTCCTGGGTCCTGGGTGGCAGGCCTGCCCTGCCCTGCCCTGTCCTCCGGAGCCGGCCCGATCGCTCGAATCTCTCTCTATCCCCCCCTGGCCGGGCTAGGCGGCCAGATTTCGCCGTGGTCTATTCCCGGTGCGAAAGTGGTATCCACTTGCCCTACATATTGCCCTGCCCTACTGTGTCTATCTCTGGTTTATTACACACGTTTGTGTGTGTGTGTGTTTGTGTTGGGACGAGTACCGTGTCTGTTGTCTGTCTGTCTTGCTTTCCTTTCTCTTTTTTTTTTCCTTTCCCACCAGGACATCTTCCGAGAGGACCCTCTCCTCCTTCCTCCTCCCTGGATCCCCGGATAGACTAGTATACACCACAGTATGGGGATGGAGAGAGATCTGCGGTGGCTCCTCTCTCTCGTCTGGTCTCTTGTCAGGGCCAGTTATTAGTCAAGTCAGTCAGATACTCATGTCAGTACACAGTAGCTCTTGTCAAGCCCTGGCCTGGGCCCGGGGCCCTGTCTGTTCGCATCTCACTTGCGCCTCCTTGCTTGGCGGGAGGCTCGGTTTGGGGGTGGAGCCACCACCAATTCCGCCCCCCTCCCAAGGGGGCAAGCGAGCAAGTAGGCAGGTCTTCGGCGATCGGGGGGTGTGTGCGCCTGACTTGTTGACATGACTACTGTGATTCACATCTCACGGTGGCATGTCACCGTGCACAGATGTCCTCTGCACGTGGGCGAGATTGGGTTGTGGCCGCCGGCCAGGTACTACACTGCACTGTACATACAGTAGGAGGAAGGCCGGAGTTTCCTTCCCGCGGCGGCTTCGGTATTCCTCTTCGCGTCACCATGCACACGTTGTGTGTGTATAGACAACAACAGGTCCGCAGTCCTCGTCCAAACCACCCCCCTCGGAGACCCGGGATTCGGCCGGAAAATCTCGATCTCGAGGGGAATCTGCCAGCCCAGCCCAGCCCAGTCCATAACAATCAATGCCAACCACAGCCGTCAATGGCTGGCTGGCTGGCTGCCACGATTGCGAGCTATCAGGCTGTTTGCCGAAAGGGGACCGAAGGGGGGTTGAGTGAGTGGGAGGAGGAGGAGGAGGAGGAGGGGCGGGACCCAGGCCGTTGGTAACAAGATGATCCTTCCGGCTTGGGGCAAGGAGGGCCGGTTATGCATGCATCTTGGGCAGCCAGCTATAGCGCAGTGTACTACGTAGTAGTGCTGTTGCAGCGCCAATGTGGAGATTTTTGTGCCCTTCCCTGGCGCTGTGTGGGCGGTGGTGATGGCTGGGCTGGGCTGGGCTGGCAGGTTCTGTGGGCAAGGAGGCCAAAAAAGCAAGGAGTGGACGAGACGGCCCACTTCTGTTGGATCCGTCCCGAGGTTGTTGCTATCGTGTCAGCAAAGGGGGCGACAGGGACTGAACGATGACGACTCGGGCGCGTGATCGATCCCAATAGTCGGCTCAGGCTTCAGACGACGGACCAACCCCACAAAGGCGGCTTGGTACAGTATGTTTGTTTGCCCCTTCATTCAGTGAGGCGTGGGGGGGCGTGCTTGAACTGCGATGGTGGGACCACGCCCGGGGCCACTTTCACGACAGGGACCAAGTCAAATCAGTCGTCAGTCAGTCAGTTGATCCTCGAGTGCCGCGAATCGAACGTGCATTCATCTTGTAGCCTAGGAGCAGACAAGACAAAGGTCCACCGCATCTCCACCCTGTGATTGCGGCTCCAACGCTCCGCGCTTGTGAGCCTCACTCATCACCTGGTCAGCATTCACCTGCCCTCACCTGCCCTCAACATGGACGCTCAGCCTGGCAGCATGAGAATCCCCGTACCAAGCCAACGGCCCCTGAATTCAAGATCCTCCTCCGGCCACGGTCGAACATGGCGGCCGAGCGAACGAAACACTATTTCCACTCTTGGCCGGCCCCGCTGCCGAGCATTCTCACTTGTATCCCGTAGCACCTCCTCAAGACCAAGTTACTCCGCCTAAATGCACCTCAGAACGCCATTGCCAATGAGTCGCCATGTGTACATGTAAATGTTCCTCCCAATCGTGTATATGAGTGAAAGCAAAATGCCGGGTATCGTATATTTTCCAGGCCTGTCTCCGTTCGCCCCACCCCCTAAGAAAACAAGGGAAAGAAAGCCAAAGACGCCAAATTTACAGTTTGGGGTATCGGGCGGCAGGCGACCGTACACAGTTGTGAAAATGAGTTGGAAATTGTTGTCCGAGTGTCGGGGTTCCCAGGCGGATCCGATTTGGAGATTTTGGCCGGCACGTGGGGGCCGGCGGGTGCGAGGGCTTTTCAAGCCATGCTTGCCCTGGCGGCGTTGATCTCGTTGGCATGCAGCTCAACGTCTCGGAGAGGCGGAGCGTCTTTGGCTTTCTCCTGCGAGGGCAGCTCCAGCCTCTTCCTGAACCAACCGCCGCGCTCCCACTGCCCAGCCTTATACACGGCATCATTCCGAGTCTGATCGTCGATTATGCCAAACAGCAGGCTTTCGAGCCTTTTGAAGTCGATGGGTTTCAAAATCCAGCCGTCAAATCCTGCAGACATATACGTCTGTTTCTCACGCTCCAGAAGAGAGGCCGAAACCGCAAAAATCGGGATTCTACCATGATTCGAAGAAATGGAAGAGAGATACTGATGCTCGCCCGCGTGTTCGATCTCTCTTATCGTTTTGGCTGCTGTTAGGCCGTCCATTATAGGCATCTGCGGCATGTGTCAGCTTGGAATACTGTCGTTGCGGACACGAAAGAGAGGGACTGGTGGCCTAAGGACCTAATGTACTGCCTATGCGTATCGTGATGTTTCCGTCGGGAATCAGCGTCGAAAATCTTACCTGCATGTCCATGAGAACCACGTCAAACTCAACGGCGCTCTCCCTGTAAGCTGCAGCGCAGTCTTCTCCATTCACAGTGTGGTGTACCGTATGGCCGGCCTTCTCCAATCGCTTGCGCAGTATCTTCATATTGATGGGGTCGTCCTCGGCCACCAATACTCGTAGTTTGGCCGACTCCGGCTTGCTTGCTTTGTGGACATTGCCATCAATCGTTGTCGCGCCTGAACCGGCCTTACCCCTTGCAGTTGGCGCCGCATCTGACACCTCAAACAGCACTCCCGAGGTCTCGCTAGGCTGAACAGGCGCTTCCGGCTGGTCTTGATACTCGTCTGGAATCTTCACAGGTCGAATTGGTGTTTTTGTATCGGTGATGAAGTCGTAACCGACTGGGCCATCGGGTCCGTCTTGACTGGCTGCGACTTCTGAGTTTTTGTCAGGCGTTGAAATCGATCTCATCAAGCCACCAGGTCTGCCAAAAGACCGATTCGGACTCATGGAACGTGAAGTAGTGTGTCGTGGACTGCCACTGTAGTAGGCACCTTTCGAATTTCGTCGTTGTACACTGGTTGATTCCGACTCCGGCTCTCCAATGCCCAAGGGTGTCTGGATGGCGTCAATGAGTCTGTCGGCGTCGCTTTTGGAGCTCTGTGCACTTCCCCGACTCGTCCCTGTCCGGTGACTATCGAGGCTGACATTGTCGTCGAAGCTCCTCTTCGCCGTCAACGCTTGTTTGTGGAGGCTGGTGCTTCCACGATCAATGAGCATGACTTCACCGTCCCCGGCTGGCGGTCGCGTTGTCGATACGGAAGCGGCTGACCCCGTGACTGACGTCGTACCAGGCACCCCGCTATCTTGTGACCCCGGTGAATCGCTTGGCGGCATCTCGAATGAAAGCTGGATCACGAATCGGGATCCTTTGCCTGCCTCGGATTTCAGACGCAGCTGTCCATCCATATTGCGAACAATACGAGCCACTACCGCGAGTCCCAAGCCCAAAGTCTCTGGTTTCTCTTTGGCGGCCTCCGGTTCGTCTTCCGAGAGATTGACCTCTTCGGTCGACACCTGTTCCAGTTCGCGAAACAGCGCGTCTAGCTGCGAGTCGCTCATCCCACGTCCCGTGTCTTGCACAATAATCTCCACGCGTACTCTGGTCTCTTGCACTTCGGCAGAGTAAACCTCAATTTTGACGGAACCCTTGGAAGTGTGCTGTACCGCGTTGGCTGTTACATTGGAGACAGCCTGGCGAAGCCTCCTTTGATCGCCACAAACATATTTCGGCAATCCTGGGTGCTCCACAACTTCGTACTCAATGCCCTTTCTCTTTGCATCGTTTCTGAATGGATCTGTCGCCTCTCGGACACAGGCGATGAAGTCAAAAATCTCGTCTTTGACAAGATTGTTGCCCTCCTCCGTCTGGGTCAGATCAAGGAGATCATTGACTGATACTCTGTTAGATACATGCCATTTGTACGTGAATCCATACGAAGTCATATCATGGGGTCATAACGTGGGCGTATACTTACTGACGTAAATGAGTGATTTCGAGGCAGAATGTGACCTGGCGAGGTTGTCCCTGGTTTCCTGATCCAGACTGCCCTCGAGAGCTATTTCCAGATAATTGATGATGGCGTTGAGAGGTGTGCGCACCTCGTGCGCTGAGTTGGCCAGCAGGAGTTTTGTGAGGCGGCTATTTTGAAGAGCGGCTTCCTTTTGCCTCCATACCTCGATGAACTTGCCATAGACAAGGCACAAAACCGCGGCGGTCTCGATCTGCTCTTCAGACCATTCGCGGCATTTGCCAAGGATAGTCTCATGCCACACTTGGAAGCTCTTCCTCGGCTCGAGATAATTCTGGGTTCCCTCCTGAATAATCTTTTCGTAGGGGTTTCCTGCCCATTTCACCTCCCGCACCTGACCTTTTCTGAAGAATGTAATAAAGTCACTGCCACCAACGCTGAGCGGAACATAGAGAAGACCCGCGATGAAGTGAAAGCCCGGGGGATAGTGTAAGTCTGGGAAATCCACTTTGATGTCCTGTGTGGTCAAGACTGAACTGAACTTGCGCAATCTCAGGTACTCGAGCATAGCGAGAGCCTCTTGCGAATGATCAACCCTCCCCATGAACTTGGTTTCGCCCTTGATAGAAAGCATACCGAAATCCGCGTCGAACAATTTCAGCAAGTCGTCGGATGATGCGATGATGTAACCTGAGGGGTTTTTGTCGGTAGGTACAGTGTTGATAAGTTTGCGAGCCTGGAGCCTCGATGCGTATGAAAGTCGCTCAATGTTCCGCGAGACAGTGTCTCCAACAAGGCGGCACATCTTCCTGATCGGGAACGACACGCGCATACCCTTCGTCCCGTATGAGTGGCAAGCAATGAGCCCCCAGAGTTCGTTGAAGGCGTTAATTGATATTGACATGGACGAGCGCACCTCCATATTTGCGAGATATTTGATATGGATCGGTGACATGGCGCGAAGGTACGAATGTGTCATGTCCAGGGGAACATCTAGATCTTCCTTTGAACGGCAGACAAGTCTCGCGGTCTCCTGGTCCCGATCGTAGAGTAGTCGCACCTTGTTGAGCTTATAGAGTTCCCGAGCCTGCTTGGGGATGTCTGAAGCAGGGAAGTGAAGGCCCTTGTACAGGTCCTTCGTATGCACAGGGTCGACAAGTTCCGTGACCACTTTTCCATTGAATGACGCGTCGAACTGATATATCATAACCCGGTGAAAGCCGGTCAACTCCTTGACTATGCCCACAAGGATCTTCAAGAAGCGGTCAAGGTTGGTCGCAGATGCAAGCTGCTCTTGAACCTGCGACATGATGTCGAAGACCTGCATGGCGCCCGCCTCGCCCCTCCGCTTGCGAGCGCTTCTCAAAACTCTGAGCGGCTTGCTGGAGATCTCGGTGCTCTCCGTGAGCTCATCCATGGTGGGGTTCGATCGAAGTGTATCTGCTGGAACATCCGGGGTCCTCTCGTCGTCTGGCCTCAATGGGAATTCATGGTCGTCGTCCAGCTCGAATTCGCAAATGATTAGGTCGGGGTGGGCTGAGTGAGAGTGAATAGCGCACCATAATTTGATGGACCTGGAAAACGAGTCAGCCGGAGCATCAGATGAGGCACGGTCAAGTGATTGATGGTCCATCGAAAGGGACAAACAGTAGCACTGGGACCGTCGAGCGGGTATCTCGGTGAGTGCCGAGGTAGTGAAGAAGACCGCAACGGAAGTGTGGAGCAGGTCAGACAGCGATTACCTCTTCTTTGGTGGCCGAATGGACATGCTGAAGACCTCTGGGCCATTGACAGCTGGGTCTGCATCCTCGTCTCGGATGAAGTCGATGTGGTCTAGCAGGTTGTCGGCCTGTTCCTCAGTGAGGATGTCCGTGAAATTGTTGAGACGGAACAGTTCGAGGGGGGTGTAGCCGATGATGCGCTTCGAGTTCTCGCTGGCATATCGCACGGTGAACCGCCCATCGGCTTCCTCGCGTATAGCAAGCATGAGGCCGAAGCCTTGGACAGCCCCCGGGGCGTGGATGGGCTCGTCCTCGCATCTCTGCAAGGTCCCATCCCGCCCTGTGATGACCAAATGGCCTTCGTCGGTCATGACATGCTTGAAACGTGAGGTCACGTAGCCATCAGGGGGGATGTCAGGCTGTCCACCGGCCGAGTCTCGCCCAATCGAGCTTGCAGCCATACCTAAGCGCATGTCCCCGGCTGGTTCGGATGCCTCATCCTCAGAATCGTCGCTAAACAAGTTGAGGGTGGCTGATCGGTGTCGTTCGGCGTCGGCCTGCACACTGGACCTGGGACCCGTGGTGTTCGACCGTGCCCTGCGGTACGGATCACCCTCTTGATGAGCCGCGAGATTCAGCTGAGCCGAAGACAGAACGGAGTCACTCGTTATACTACCGGCGCGCCTCACTGGCGTCTCTGCATCAAACCGGGAGCTGCCACTTGCATGGGATGGCCCGGCGCCCTCGGGTGGTGGCATTCGCGGGAAGTACTCGCCCGAGGTCCTACTCGACGGGGCGACACTGATGACGGAGCGTATTGGAAAGACGCGGTCGCCCGGGTCTGCCTGGCTGCCATGACCAGTGTGGTGGTCAGACGCGGCACTCAATGTCGAGTGCACGCTGGGGGTTTCCAGAGGTGGATTGCTGCCGAACAGGGGCACGGAAGTATCGATGGTGGTTCGAGGGGGGGGTGCAGCTTGTGAGGGGGTGGAGCTGCCGGGACGGGAATCTGCTGTGGCTCTCGGTTCGGGATCTGGAGTAGCGTCTGCCTGTTCGATGGGCTGCGAGCTCTGAGATGTTTCCGCCGAAGTCTGTGAGTGACCCGCGGCCTCATCTCGACCCGAGTCCATGGCCGGCTCGCCCTTGATGTTCAAGTGGGAGACCTAGAAGCCTCGTACAAAGAGAGGGCCGTCGAGCGCGGGCGAGAGCGTGACCGGCGTGCAATGCAGGGTGGTGGGGGCGGGCGGCCGAGATCTCGGGAATATCGTGACCAGGTCGCGGGCACGGTCACAGCGTCTTGTACTGGTAAAATTGTGAGGGTGCGCAACTGGCAAGACATGATGACATGGGGACATACATGGGGGATTTTGCGAATTCTGGTCTCCGACATTGGGCCAATGACCTGCAGGAGCACTTTGGCGCTGCACAACCACGGCCTTGGGTTGCGCGTGCGGCCGGGCAGGATAGAAGGCAGAGGGAGTCTCTGGATGATGATAGCCCCAGGGCTGCGTGTCTCGGTGGAGGAGTGCAGAATATGGTGATCAAGGAGTGGCGGAGGGATCCCTTTCAATGTGCTTCCACTGTGGTGAGAACTGGGCTCCGGCTACAGCGCAGCGGTAGCAACAACGGCGGGTGGCGGCGGCAGCAGCAGCCAGAGGAAGCTTCCTCGGGGATTGTGGGCGCGCGGGGCGGCGGCAGGATGCAACTCGCAGTGGTGTGTGGGTGCGAGTGCGGTGTCTGATGATGGGAGAAGTGTCACGGTGTCTTGCCAGATACCGATCCGAGGGGTCCAGGCTGCCAGGTGAGGATGGCATCGAGCATGGTCCCTAGGAAATGCTCATCTTTAGCTGCTACAGGAACGGGTACGGCATGCGTGGGCGTCTGGCGTGGGAGGACGGTGGCGAGGTGGGACGGGACGCAGAGCAGAAGCGAAAAGGGCCGGCTGCACAATGGGAGAGGCAAAAAGAGTGGAGTGGCCCTGGCTGTGGACGGGGCAAGGCAAGGAAGGTTGCAAGGCCCGGGATGGGGGTTCCTGAATGACGGGCTTGGGTGGGTCTGGCGGCCGAGTTCTGGATTTCCGGGGTTGTCAGGTCGCCTTCGTGTTTTCCCTCACTTGTGGCAGACATGACAAGAGAGAGGCAGAGCAGAGAGACAGGCAACAGGACAGGCAAGGAAAGAAAGGGGTGGGTCCTGTGCGTGTGCTACATACCTACGCACTGCAGTCGAGAACACAGACGCAGAGACGGCGGACCTCGTCCCTCGCATTACTGCTTCAGGACAAATCCTGCAGCTGGTGCTAACATGTGTACACGGCAGATGCAGCAGGCGAGGCGGGCAGGCAGGTGGCAGGTTTGGCCCCAGTGCCTTTCGTCATTGGCGATCGTTGCTCCATCCGTCTCGGAGCAGGGGTGAGGGGGCAGGTGGGGGTGCGCCAGAGGGCTGGCCTGGCTTGGACGGCAGGACGGGTGCATGGAGGGTCTTTGAGTTCTGGGGAGGCGCCTCTTTGTGGTACTGCACTGGTACAGTGGCACACACGCCGAGGCCACACAGTAATAAACGGGGCAGCCAGTCTGCCAGTCAATCAGATGGGAAAGTTGGAAAATCGCATTTCGCCCCTCCCAAGCATCAGCTCACGAGCCGAAACTCTATTCCCTTGGAGCTGGGCATAGACCCCACCCCAGCACCCCAGCAGCCTGGCCGCCCGCGCACAGCTGACAGCCTCTAGATCTGCCTGCATTTATTTCTTTTTCTTTTTTTTTCAGATTCTCATCTTCAGCCGTGATTGTTCCTGTCTCCGGGCTTAGTCCCTGGACACTGGGCACTGGACCCTGCCTGCAGAGGACAGGCCCAGACAAGCTTACGTACTGGCAGAGACCTCGGCCCTCCACACGTGCGGCATGAGCAGCGGTCTTGTACTGAAGACCCAGGCAGCCCAGGGCAGCCAGGTAGGCAAGTAGGTCACCACAGCCGCGCTAGTGACTAGCCGCTGCAACCAGCCAGCAATTTCCAAGATTTTCCAAGGTTGTTGGAATTGTGCTCGATGCTGTGCGTGTCGCTTTGTCGCTCCGTACTGTGCCCACCGGCCGTGGTTTCTGATGTGTGTGCGCGCGTGCAACACATTGTGGACATTGTGGACATTGTGGCAAGGTTTCGCTGCTATTGCTGACAACTAGCACCACTGACTCTGAGACCAGACCAGAAGGTCGGCAGCCGTGGCACTCGCAGCCAACATCTGACCAGCCGCCAGCGACCAAGTATGTGGTCTATTGCCTGTCTGCCCATCATCGATTACAGACTACGCCGTGTCATGCGCCGCTCCAGGACTGGTCTGGAATCAGAGCCCCAAGAGCCTGGGAGCCCAGCGGGAAAGGGACAACCCTGAAACCCCCCCACCCCCCAGAGGACCTGGCTGGTTGGTGGGCGGCAGCTCTCGCCTAACCCAGGGCTCCCCGGCGCACGAGACCCAAGCCGCGAAACGTCTGCCTACTTGTTGCTGTCGCAAGTGCTCGAGTGCTACTGCATGGCACAGAAGTCAGAGTGGGAGCTGAGCGTGGCGTGCTCCACCCCGAACGCCAGTGCCGGCTCTGGTGGATCGAGTATGTAGAGCCGACAGCACACAGGCGCCAGCCGAGTGACCCTGGCAATGCACTTCTGGCTGTCACCGCTGGTCTAGACGAGCTGGCAGGCTGGCAGGCTGGCAGGCTGGCCGAGACATTGCTGCATTCGATCCTGCGGGGCATCATCGCGCATGTACATGCATATGCGCCCAGTTTGCGGCGTGGCTTGAGCAACGAGATCCCTTCTACGACTTGCGTATAGGCAGGTCTATATGTTGGGGTCGGTGGTCATGCCGGCAGGCCGGAGATGCCTGCGCATAGGCAAACCGGGCAGTTAGTTGCCAAGGTGTCCTGGGTGTCTGGGTGTCCGTGGTCTGTTGAGAAAGCCGAGGGTCTCTCCCAGGTTGCCAGGTCGTATGATGAGCGCGTCGCCGCGCTATCTCCCAGCAGCTCGCAGAGATCGACAGGACTGGCTCTCCGACTAGGGTTTCCACCTGTTCCTACTTGCTCTCCTAGGGCGCCCGACCTGCCGGCCTGCCGGCCCAAGCTTTGGGTGGTGGAAATCCGATGGGCCCTCCAACCCTCGAACCAATGCAGGTTGCGTGTGAACTAGTCGGATTCGCCAAGTAACAATGATGCAGTCTCCAGCGCTGCTAACGACTCATGTCTCAACGTCTCGATGTAATCGCGTGTTTATATCTTCAAGTTGTCGCATCCCGTGGAATGTCGCAAACTGCCGCAACGTGCCACGGCCACTTACACGCTTCAGATTGTGGCGTCCAGTTCAATCTTGTTGTACTCCGTACCGAGTACAGGGATTGCACGGAGGTCGGAGTCCAATGTCGTCATTGCGCAGCTCGCCCGTCCAAACACTCGATCCTATGTACCCCCAGGCGTCCAGGCGTACCAGAGAGCCGTCATTCGCATGGTAAGATCCAAGGTATACCGCTGTGCGACTTCCTTAACACTTATCTGATCTTACCTGGAAGACTGTCTCCCAAGTTCAGGTTCCAAGTGCTTCATGTCTCGAGTCTTCAGAAACACTCGAGCAAGCGCCAATACAGCCTGGCGCTACATGACAATCAGTCTAACAAGACTGAATCCCGACTCGCCTTGCTCCTTAGCCAACCCGACGTCCCCTTACGGTTGTAGCTCGGCCTGGTTCGAAAGCCTCTTCGCTTTGTTGAGGGAGCCGCTCGACGTCTGAAATTACTGAAATGCCCGTGTGCTTACAGGGAGGGTCCTCAGAGACGCCACATATAAGTCCATAAATAATAACTTAGGTTTTAGCTTGATTTGGCCAAACTTATCATGAGCCGTCATCCCAGCGTCCGGGATCTGACACTGCCCACTGGACCCTTACTCTTTGCCACCGTCCCGCGACAAGACCCCCGGGACCCCTAAGCCAGAATAAGCTGCTGTGGAACGGAACGCCTTACCATGGGGAAGCCCATGTTACACAGCGAAGGGGCTTTTGGCACTAGCTATGTTCGGGCACGTTGCTCCTCAATCGTCAACTGCAGAATTGAAGTAACGCCTTGGGGTATTTGATGACGTCCAGTTCAATATTTTCAAGCCCATGGCAAAAACCCCCCAAATGAAGTGGCCACAATGGCTTTCACTTTAGCCTTATATTTTCCGGTATTTCTGACACCTTTCATGGCTCGGTCTCGAAAAAAAATAGCTGCAGATTGTCTCCACTGGGTGGTACTGGGTGGCATGATCACCCTTCCCTCGGGCGAGGTCTGCGGCAACAGGTGAAGCATCCAGTCAGCCAGTGCAGCACACAAGAGTTGCGGGCCCATCAGAATCCATGACGCAGGTGACCGACTACCAAAAGCAACCTTCGTCTTTCTTCGGCCATGGACACTTTGGTTGTCTTACTTACTGACACTGGCCGCGCCCGTATCATCCAGCCCCAGACGCCTACTCAAGGCGCCACACCTGCGCATCGCAAGTCCCACGGGTTCCCCTGTGTCGTTGTCGTGGGCCGTATCAGGAGCCGTCTGGATGGATGTTACTGTCCTGGGCGTCTCCCGGGACAGGTTCAGCCTCTAAGTGGTCGGCCACTCTCTTCTCCGCTGAGGGTATAACCGACCACTTTGTTGCCTCACATCTTGTCTAGGACATGAGAGCCACACTAGACGGTGCTGATCTTCTTCAAGACATACAGGACATCAGCACCTAGGTAGTAGTCACCCTATAGACCCCGTTAGCCAATATCTGTATCCTCGCCTGAGCTGTATCATTGGTACTATGGGATTGTGTTCTATTACTCCTTATTGTGTTAGCAGAGGAGAAACTTGATGACTATAGTGATCTTCATGTGAGTTTTGTAAGGACAAATTGTGAGATTATTGTGGCCTTAATTTTTCTTCTAGAACGAGTGATTGTAATGACGGCCATTAACTATGTTTTGCCTGTGCCAGGAGTACCGACAATCGAGAGGAGTCTATATGGGACGTGGCCTAGGAACTGGCTGATCTGTGGCTGGATATCGACAGGAAGTGTCTTCTTAAAGTACTACCTCTCCTTTTTACTAAAATTAGAATAGAGGTTGACCTCTAAGTTTAGGTTGGGTATGTATTGATATAAAAAACCCTTTATAAGTAAGTACTTAAATAGGTTAGATTGCTACCCTGGACAAGCTTGAACTTAGCTCCTATAGTAATAAGTTTAAATAGGTTAGTTAAGACTTTTTGGCTATTGTAGAGCTTGTTGTTGATGTAGTCGCCCGGGGCTTTGGTCGACATGCGCAATGCTGGTTATGGTGCCCAGGCCCAGGCCAACATCCACCCGGATGATTTTCACAACGATGCGGAGGCATCACCGAAGCAGCCCGTCAGCCGCCAAATCCCCCAGGACTCGTTCAAAAAAGAGCACATCCTGCAAAGTCTGAAGGAGAGGAGTCTGGGTGGTCTGGTCCGGGAGCTCATGCTTCAGATGCTGTGGAGGTCGTCTGCTGTCTTCAGCACCACCCATGTTGGCGCGGGCCAACTGGTCAAGAAGTTCACCAAGGTTGCCAATGAGTACATCCTGGATGAGGCAGCTGCGGCCACCATCCCAGAGGCTGCACAGATCTGGCGCAATGACCGTCCATTAATACTTGGAGGGGACCCCTTCCAGCTGTTGCCTGCTACCCTGTCCGCCGGGACCAAGTACCAAGGTACTGACCATACCATCAACCCTCTTGCCCCTCAGCACAAGCTCTCTCTGCTTCGGTTGGCAATGCTGAACGGTTGGCCCTGCCTTGTCTTGAGGTACCAGCGCCGCATGGTCCTCGGTTTGTTCGATCTGTCGGCATGTCTTCTACTCTACCTGGGGCCTTAGCTTTGGCGTTGGCTGTGTCCTGGAACACCATCCGGCTGCCAGGCGCTGTGAAGATTGGGTCGTGCGGAAGCTTGATGTACGTGCAAGCCCCAACGGCCGGGTTCTGCCGGTGTTTGTCCATGTTCGGAACTCTGAGGTGAGGTTTGCGGACATCTCTCGATCACGCTCAAACCCCAGGATGTTGCAAGTCCTGATTCGAGTCCTCAACCGCCTGATTCAAGGCGCCCGCCTTGATCCCAATCAAATCGCAATTATCACGCCATACACGGCGCAGGAGAACGCAATCCTGCAAGCTGTGGGCCACCGACTCATCTCTGTATCGGACAACCCCAAGAAGATGCTACTCACCACCGCAGACCGTTCCCAAGGCAACGAGCGAGATGTAGTCATTTTCCTGCTTGTCAACACGCGACAGAGCGATTCTGGGCTTCTGTGGGATGAGAACAGGATGAATGTCATCAGCACTAGAGCAAGGGACTTCATGATCGTCATTGGAGACATTGGAGTCGATCAGAAAACGCCTTCGGCCAATGTCAAGTTGGCCAGTGGAAGAGTTTCGGGCGAGAACAAGTTGCCTCAGTGGCTCCGGTTCTTCCAGGACCATGGGCGCGTGGCCAACATGTCTGGGTCTCAGAAGGTATATTGGCTTGGGGCGGATCCTGCAGACTTTGCTCCAAAGAGGTTTATGAATGCCGTGGATAATTTCTTAAAGTACTGCCTCTCCTTTTTACTGAGAGATCGGATATTCACACCCACCAAGATAGAGGGTACACCCAAGCCTCAAGGGACAACCTCTCATAGGATAACCTCTTATAGAACAACCTCTTATAGAACAACCTCCTATAGGACAACCTCCTATAGGATAACCTTCTATAGGATAACCTTTTATAAAATAACCTTCTATAAAATAACCTCTTATAGAATAACCTTCTATAAAATAACCTTCTATAAAATAACCTTTTATAAAATAACTTTTTATAAAATAACTTTTTATAAAATAACTTTTTTTTAAAATAAAGTTTTATAAAATAAATTTATAAAATAATTATTTATAACTTTAATATTAAAATTTAATATTTTAAATATTAAGTTTTAATATAAATATACTTTTATTTTAATAAATATAAATATTTAATCTTTTATAAAAATTAAAATAAAAGTTAACTTTTAAATTTAAATTAAATATATATTAATATAAAAACCTTTTATAAATAAATATATTATAATAAAATATAAAAATATAAGTTTTTAAAAAATACTTTTAAAAATTATTATATATAAATAATTAATAAAAACTTTTAACTTTAAAATTAAAAATTTAAATATTTTTTTTTATAAAATAAATTAATTAAAATTAATATCTTTATTTTATTTTAAATAATAAATAGTTATAAAAATTTAAATTAAAGATTTTATTTAAACTTTTAATTAAATAAAAATAAATTAAATATTAAAATTAAAATTATATTATATTAAATAATTAATATATAAATAAATACTTTTAATAAATAATAAACTTTTAATTAAATTACTTAAAGTTAATTAATTAATAATATAATTTTATATTATATATTATTATATAATTAAATTAATTAAAAATTAAAAAGTTAAACTTTAATTTAATAACTTTATATTTTAAATTAATTAATTAATTAATTAATAATTAAAAATTATTAAATAAAAATATAAAAATTAATTTTAAACTTATATTTAATATATTATAAAATTATAAATTATTTATATTTTTAATTTTATTATTAAATTAAAAGTAAATAATTATAATTTTAAAAATGAAATATAATATATCTTTTAAAGATTAATTTAATTAAATTTATTATATAAAACTTTTATAATAACTTTATAATTTATTATATTTATAATATTATTTATTATTAAAAGATACCTTTTATATTAATATATTAAACTATATTTAATTAATTTAAATTAATATTATTAACTTTAATATAAATTAATTTATTAAAAGTTAAAGTTATTATAAATTATAAACTATTAAATATAATATTAATAAATATTATATAATTATATTATAATTATATATAAAAATTAAATAAGTTATAAATTTAATTTTATTTTTATAATATATCTTTTTATTTTTATATTTAATATATAAAATATTAAAAGAGATATATAATAAAGTATAAAAATATAAATTTTTAAAAAATATTTTAAAAGTTATTATATATATAAATAATTAATAAAAACTTTAATTTTAAAAGTTAAAAATTTAAATAACTTTTCTTTTTCTTTTCTTTTTTTTACTTTTTATTTATAAATAAACTAACTTAATTAAAGTTAATATCTTTACTCTTTTTATTATAAAAGTAATTATAAAAGATAATTATAAGTAGTTATAAAAGTAGTTATAAAAATAATTATAAAAATAGTTATAAAAGGTAATTATAAAAGATAATTATAAAGTAATTATAAAAGATAATTATAAAAAATAATTATAAAAGATAGTTATAAAGTAAAATATAAAGTAGAAAATAAAGTAGAAAATAAAAGTAAAAATAAAGTTTTAAAGAATAAAAATATAATTTAAAAATATAAAAAACTTTAAAATTACTTTAAAAACATTTCTTTTAATTTTTTAATATTTAAATAATAAAGTAATTTTAAACTTTTAAATTTTATTAAATCTTTTATATAACTTTTATATTTTAATTTTTAATCTTTATAAAAATTATTTTATAATAAATATGATTTTATAATATATATAATATTTATTAATATTTATAATATTTATAAATCTTTCTTATTTATTAATATAATATAAATAGAAAAACTTATTATAATAAAATTATATAAAGTATATTAATATTAAATAATTTTAATTATAAAATATTCTTTAAATATATTTTTATAAAATATTTTAAATTATAATTAATATAACTTTTAAAATATAAATAAACTATACTTTAAATTAAATTTAACTTTTATTAATACTTTTATTAATATATAGCTTTATTAACTATATATTTAATACTTAAAGTACCTTTTTTTAAAGCGCTCTTAGTTTTTAAAAATTTAATCTATTACTACTACTTATTTACTTATATTAACACTATAAAACTTTATATAAAGTGAAGCCCTTCTAATAACTTTAACTAAATATATATATTTTAAATAGTAGTGTTATTTTTAGAAATATTTTTATAGCAGTCTAACTTACTTTCCTAGTTATAAAATAAGAGATTATAAGGTAAAGATATATTATAAGTTAGTAAAGATAGAATAACCATTGATTTTAGATATGATGAGCATCTACTACTGTATGAAGGCGCCACATATGTTTTATATATACGGGGATTAGAAACGAAACCACTCTGGATATGAGTTTTAGGGTTGACCGTTTTTCATTTTTTTCTTGAAGAAAAGGAGGTGGGATGCTTTCAACCAGGGCTTGGCTTTGTGTAGACTTTCATCCCAAATTTTCGCGTTGCTCTGCTGCGTTCCTACTTCGCAGCTCCAATTGTTGCAACTGGGCTTATTTTGGGCCCCTTGCCACTACGTTTCCATCTTCGAGCTCTAGCCGTCGGACCTGGGCTTTTTTCCCTTTTTAAACTTCGTCCCCATCCAAGCCTCTTTCCATCTTCAAGTTCCAGTTTTCGCTACTAGGCTTGCCCTTACCTTCCTGCTCCTCCACCACGAAGGCGGCCTCTTCTGACAACCCATCAACGAAGGTAAGTCCCTATCTCTTAAACTTTCAACAACTGCATCTACTCACGCAAGAACTTCAAGTTTAGCTCTCGGTCAGGAAGGCTTCTCTTCTTCTGGAGAGGGCAAACACAACTTATCTCAAAGGTAAGCCCAATCTTCCATACTCATCAGTTGCCACCGATTATCTCATTCTCACACAACTTCAGCTCTTCACACACGAGACTCTACCTTCTCAAACCTGCCTCCCACTTCGAACCACGCTCTCAAAGGTAAGCCTAATCTCACAAATTGTCGCCGTTCACCTCCTTCTCACACAACTTCGATTCACCTCGCACAAGTTCAGCTTCTCTCACGCAAGCTGGCACATCATCTACCCTTTTTCTCCCACTTGAAAGCTCGTTCTCCTTTGCAGGCCCATCATTGAGATTGTCACATAGTCCCCTATCTTCACACGAATGTAGCAACTGATTTTGAAGCCAAGCCTTACTTTTCCAAGAGTGGGCACATCACCACATTTCAAAAGGTGAGCACGTTATTCATCTGTCGCTGACTGTCCTTTTCTAACCCCATCGCAAACAGATGTCTAACGGGCAGATGGAGGATGCTCTTCCGGTCGGCCAGGTCGCCCTTGGCGGCTACGCCAAGGCAGCCCAGGACCCAGATCACGCGCCTGGAATTGCCCTTACTACCATACAGGCGGCCAGCATGAGGGTCATTCTTGCACCAGGAGGCACAATTCAACAGAGAGATGTTCTCACTAAGGGCGCGTTGGCCTCCATCATCACAGTCCTCTCTCAGGTCAAGAGCAAGCTCTTACCTGGTGAAGCAGTCACTCGTGAGGATCGCGAGAAGTGGCTCAACATGATCTACGACAACGGTTGGCAGCCTGGTCAGTTCATCAAAACCCCGCATGAGATTTCAACCACCGCATCGCACAAGAGCAGGGCCTTCGTGATGGGTACCTTGGCAGAGTCCCTGCAGGAATCTCCCAAGCCCAAAGGCGGTCGCAAATCGGGCCGCAACCAGGCAAACAAATCGATTGCGAAGCAAACTGCGCCACGGTCGCAGGATCCAATGCGTCGTGTCGGAGCCCCCATCTGGCTGCTCACAGAGCACAGGCAGACTGGTATTATCAACTTCTCGTTCAGAGACGCAAAATCCAGGATCATGAGCGCAAACTTAAAGGCCAATCTCGCGGATGGCATGAGCCTCAAGGAGGTGTATTTCCATGCCATGCGTAAGAACGACGAGTTCTTCGTAAAGACTTGTCATGCTTTCAACATGGAGCAGGCCCTTTACATTTGTCGTAACCGACTTACCTTCTGGAGCAACCCAGGATTCACCATTGGGACTCATCCACCGACTGAGAACGCCAAACTCGCACTCGTGGATCTCAACCTCTGTCGATACAGCGTAAGTTCTGCCTTCCTCTGGTTCACCATGCTTGCTAATACTAATACTGTATCCTATAGAACCACATTGAGGGAGCTCCGCGTGGGGCCGTCGCCGACCCCAAGGCGACACCTCCGCCCAAGCTCTTTCAATGAGCACCGAAGAGAATTGCGTGGTGCACAGCACCACCAACTCCAACCATATTACTCTCCGACAGCAGCATGAGCATGAAACATAGCTACACTTTCACATGGCATGTCATAACATCGCATGGCATGACATGACATCGCACTGCAATGGTGATAATGGTTCGGTTGGCTTTTATGGGAATCAGGCAAACGTGCATTTTTATTTTCAAAGTTTCGCGTGTGGATTGGGAATGAGAGTTGGCATGTGGAGGATATGCCATCACTCTGGGCAGCACATTCTTACGGCTGACAGAAGTTTTTCACATATTTGAATTCAATTCTAGCTTCACTGATACATGCTCTCCCTTCTGAAAAATGCATACGTGGTGGGCCTACTGCGTGCACACAGCCTGAGCAACACCTCTACCTACCTACCTAGGTACCTAGGTACCTAGGTACTCAGACAGGTACCCCGGTAGCTACCTAGGTACCTTGCTGTGGTATCTACAACCACGGCTGCCTGACGTGACCGCACCTTCTTCTCTTCTTCCCAACACAACCAACTCCATCGGAAGACAGTCGTCAATCATGTCATAGCGTACAGGCCCACACGCGCAGCTTCTCCACGGGAGTATGGCCCCTTCTTCCTCCCACATCAAGACCTGTCTGCTCGCCCTCGTGTCTGAGGTCATTCTCAGCATGCCATGACTGTCCCTTCTTCCTCGCCCCTGGGCGTGGCTGCACAGCTCCTTATCATGACGATGACTCTTTCCTTCAGTATTCATCCAGACCTTGTCTGTTGGTTTACTCCTCTCCCCATGTCTGAGATTCCTCTCAGCATCATCTCCTCTTCTTCAGATCTTCACCGTCTCATTGCTCCGCCTTGCTCCGTTTGCTTGTTTTGGAACGATAATATCACTGTACGCTCTTTTGTGTCTAGGATACTATCCTAGTACTACTATAATACGTTTTGACACCCACTGCTTGTTTTCTGTATCTCGGCGTGGCATGATGAAGCCGCTTTGTCTCGCTGTGGCTGGGTCCTAGCTCGGCTTGTTGCCTACTTCTACGCATATCTCGCTGTCGCTCGTCAGTCCAGCGATTTCCCTTTACACTGTCCCTCTCACCACCGTGGCGTTTGTCACAAATACTACGGCTCTGCCTGCTCCAACGCCCTCGTCCGGATCTGATACTATTGTCATCTCTGATGACTTTTATGATACGGATGGCAGTGTCTATGCAGCTTCTTCATACTTGGATAACAGCTCTGACGCTGCCTCCGATATCTTGATGAGCTTCCTAGATGGGAACTATGGCTCCAGTCCGAGACTCCAGGCTATCACCGACCCAGATAACAGCTCTATTACTACCTCCAACGTTTCAATGCGATTCCTAAATAAGGATGAATAGGATGTCGGGTCCAGTCCTAGACCCCAGGCCATCACCCTAGATACCTCATTAAAACCTAATAATAGTAAAGATATATATAGGTTAGTTTATTTATTATTTATTTTAAATAGAATACTAACTTATTAATTTTAGTTAGCTTTATTTAATGTTATTTATAAATAGTTAATATTAATAATCTTTATAAAGTTTTTATTATTATTAAAAAATTTTAAACTTAAATTAAATTATAAGTTACTATTAATTATACTTATAATATTCTTAAAAAGTTATAAGTTTTAAAAGTATTTTAAACTCTTTAAATTTATTTTATTATTAAATAATATTATTAATAATATTATAACTTTTATTTTAATTTTTTTATAAAAAAGTTTATTATTATAAATAGTAATTTATTAATAGATTAAATTATATTTCTACTTAATATAATTAGAGAAAAGTTTAATATAACCTTTAAACTTAGTGTTATTACACTAATATTAAGATAAGTCTACTATTAATCACTAGGATAGAGCTATTACTATCTAGATCTTTAATAATAATGCTGCTGCTGAGTCACCTAGCATTATAAACTACTATGAGGCTGTCCAGCTGCTGGCCGCCAATTCTGAGTATGACGAACTATTGCTGCCTATCATACCTGGCCTTGCTGACCTTGAACATAGGGAAATTGGACGCCGCCGCGGTGATTCATGGGAGCCTGGTCGATCATCTGGGGACAGCCCAGTGATATATCGTAATGCATTTAATGTCCTACTGGATGTCCACAACTCCCGTCCCGCCCCATCATGCCGACGAGGCTCGCGTCAACGAGAGGCGGCGCCCAAGGCCAAGGTGTCTGTCCTTGAACTTCTCAGGACACACGTAGATCGCCGCAATTCTGTTGATGAGCCGTCCCCGGATACACCGTCTCCGGATACACCATCCCGGTCAGACCCGCCTCTGTGCGTAAAGCACAGGGCAAACTCAATCTGTCAATCCATCCGTCAACGTCGTCGCACGCGCCGTGGCAAATCAGCAAAGCCCAAGCGTGACGCGAGTGAACTTGGCAGCCTTTGGCACTGCATCATGTCTGACCACTAAAATCAGCTCTATCAACTAAGTAAAGAGGATATGGTCTCTGCAGTCATTGACTGCCTCCGCCCCCAACTAGAGTCGGCTGATGTTGGCCGCTCTCTCACAGCCTTTGAGACATCGCTCACTAAGGTTCTGCGCACCCTTTTTGACCACAGTAATGGTTGCATTGGCTTTGTGAATATGTTCTTCGTCACGCCACACCAGGTAGAGGACTGGGCTCGTACAATCTCCTAGTACATTCCTAATAGGGTTCAATCAATATTTACCTTAAGAACCCCTAACTTAACATAAATCCCATAGATTAACACTTATAATATAGGAGTATAATAGACTAGTTTTCACCCTTTAATATAAAATTAAGAGTGGTATAATTATATTAGATTTATTATAGAATATAGTTAAGGCCTTTTATTATATTAATTATATAAATATAAATTTAAGAAGTTATATATAAAGTTAACTTATAAAAATAAATTCTAATACACTTATTTTATTTAATATTAAATATTTAAAAAATACTTTTATAAGATTAATTTAACTTAATATATTAATGATATTAATAATTTAAAATAAATAACTTTAATAATAATCTTAAAGTTTATTAATACCTTTAATTTAAAAGATATTATATACTTTCACTAAGTCTTTATAATTATTAAAGTAGCCTTTTATTTATAATTAGGATTAATAAACAGACTAGCTATAGAGTAATATTCACTATAGTGTACATCTAGGGCCAGCCCCTAGCGCAAATATTCATTCCCTTTATTTGATCTTCGTTTCAGTTAGAAAGGAAATACACACTCCCTACTAGGGGAAGGTCTGCGTGAGGTGTAGGGTCCTTACTCAAAGGACCGTAATCATTACTTGGACAGCGCAAAGTGGCGCCATGTCATTGCCACGGAGACTCCAGAGGAGAGGATCAAGCGCATTCAGAAGGCGAATTCAGTTAGAGAGGTATGGATTGCAAACATGACGCCTGAGCGGAAAGCTCAACACAATCAGATTGAGGCTGCCCGTGCTCGGAAAACTCGCGCCAGACGGGTGGCCGCCGAAACCCCAGAGGAAAAGGCAGAACGCCAACGCAAGAAGCGAGTTAGGGAGCGTGCTGCGTTGGAACGCCGAAAAGCAGGGCCTCCAGAGGAACTGGCCTCCTGGAATCGCAAGAGGGCGGTCAAGGAGTCACGTTACCGACATGCAAGACAGGCCGTGGAAACCCCCGAGGCAAAGGCCGCGCGCCGTCTCAAGGACAAAGCCCGCTACGCTTCCAAAAAGGCCGCAGAGACTCCAGAGCAGAGAGAACGGCGCCGACAGAGACAGCAAGAGTACTACCGAATGAGAACGGCGATAGAGACACCTGAGCAAAGGGCAGAGCGCCGTCGCAAGGCACACGCTTACTACCTTCGGCGTCGCGGTTTGGGCAAGGACGATCAGTGATATATTCATGGTGGGGGGTCTATACTTGTGTAGCCCAAAGTCAACTGTGTGAAGGAATTTAATCCTGTATCACTAAAGTTTTAGGGCTCGGAACTTTGGAATGCCATGGAGCCTTTTTTTCCTTCGAGGTTTTGGGGTCACTTGTACAATCATCTTAGCTCAATCCTGTTTAGTAATGGAAATATTGAATTCTCAATTCGAGCACAGCCGAGGCTTCATCAACCACGGACATTGCAACTGGCATGCATGCTTGATGTTCTCCAATACTACTTCAAAGCCCGTTCTGCGGAGACTTCTTGGCAGCAAGAGGACTCAACAGCATAGACAGGCCCCGGGGGAACTTCGTGATGTCGTCGGCGCCGGCAGACTTCCTGCCCTTACAGCGAACGAGCAAAATACTGACCAGGGCGCTGACCATGAACTACATCAAGGCCCACAAATACCGTGACTGGTTTCTAACCGTCGCCTGGGCAATGAGTGAGGGGGGACATCTGGTGCAGGCTAGGATGTTCGCTAAGTTGTGTCTCTTCTGTCGGGACTATATACCAGGAGGCCTTATGGGTAAGAAGCTTTCCTTCATCAACGGTGATAACATTATGCGTCACCTCCTCTATCACAACGTTAGCATGTCAAAGCACAAGCTGGCAAGGGACGCTACAACCGCCTTAACTGAACTTAAGACATGGATGAGCAGAGGCAAAGGCTGGGAGGAAGCACTCAGCTATGCCAAAGAAGATGACGACCTGGAGGCTGGGCTGTCTGAACAGGCTGGCACCGCGCGGCGGAGACTCGCATGGAGGGCGCCTGGCATCTAGTGACCGCGGGTCTGCTCGCGCTCTACATTATCGGACATCCCGGCTGCAAGTTCAGAGATATTATCGCGAGACTGGACGTGTAATGGATGATGGAACCGCGGGAGACCCTTGATGTTCGCGACGGCTTTTGGAAGGGATCAACGCTGCCAACCTGAACAAGGTTTTGCTACCGGCACCGGAACGGACAGCGGAAGTCACGCTGCTCCTGGACTACACACGCATCTTCGACCCGGGATTTGCATTTGGTAGGCAGGACCTGCGCCCCCTGCTGCCGCACCCGTGGAACGAGCTCGGACTGGAAAGGGAGCCATCCCTTGTGGGTGAGGACCGGCGGCCAGGTAGTAGCGTTGAGCGCGTGGGACCAGACCCGATCGTTACTTTGCGCAGGCACCTCCTCCCCTCTGGGACGAGGAGTCCGGCGTAGCTGCGAGAGTGGCTTACCGACCAGGTGTCTCGAGAAGGCAGCGACTTATTGGCGACATGGTGCGGAGACTAGGCAGGCAGGTTAGTCCAGGCTACCAACTATTATTATAGATTATATTGAGCTACTTCTCGCATTCATCACGAATAACTACTTTACTAGGTAAGAACTTATCCTTAACCTAAGAGAGGACTATTAAAATAAAAGCTAGTACACCCTTAGTAAAAATATCTCCCTATTAAATTGTACCTCCTAGAGTAAAAATAACTTAAGAGAGGACCATTAAAATAGAGGCTAGCGCGCCTTTAATAAGAATATCTCTTTATTAAATTATACTTTTTAAAGTAAAAATAATTTTAAAAAAAACTATTAGAATAAAAGTTAATATACCTTTAATAAGAATATTTCTTTATTAAATTATATAGTTTTAATTATATTATATTTTTCTTTTATATTATATAATTACTTATTTCTTTTTTAATAGTTTAAAGTTTTTATATAATATTTTTAATAATTTTATATATATTTTTATAATTGTTTTATAAAAAACTTTAAATCTTTTTTATTTTTATTATATATTTTATATTATTAAAAATTAATAATTATTAGTAATAAAAATATAAATTTAAAGAAGAATAAATTTATTATACTTTTTTATTTTTATAAATTATTTTTAAATTTTATTTTAAAAGTTTTTATATTTTATTATAAAAGTTTTAAAGGTAATATATTATAAATTATTTCTTTATTTTAAGTTTTTTAAAATTAATTATATATTTAAATAAAAGTTATAATATTAAACTTTAAATATTTATTTAATAAAAGTTTTATTATAATATATATATATATATATATATATTTAAAGGAATAATTTTAATTAAATTATTTTAATATAATTTATTTATATAATAATTATTTTTAAATTTAATTTTATTATATAATTTTTATAATATTTTAATTAATATTATTATTAAAATAATATCTTTTAATTTTATTTATATATTATAATTATTATTAATAATATTATATTTTTAAAAATATTAAATATTAAATATTTATTATTATATAAAAGTATAATATATATTTATAAATATATATAAAATAAAAATAAAAATATATTAAATTATATTTTTAAAGTAAAAATAACTTTTATATAAATTAATATTTATTTATTTAATAATTTTATAAACTTATTTAATACTAACTTTTATATATAAAGTTTTATATAAAACTATTATTTAATTAAAACTTTTAAATTTTAATACTTTAAATATAAATTTCTTTTAAACCCCTTTTACCACCCTTTCTACTATACCTTCTACTACACCTTTTATTATACCTTTTAATATACCTTTTAAACTTTTTAAACCTTATATATTTAAATATTAATTAAATATTAAAAATTAAAAACAGTATAATCTTTATATTTAAATATATAATTAATATTTAAATATATATAATTTAAAAGGTATAAATTATTTATATTTTTAATTTTATTATTAAATTAAAAGTAAATAATTAAAGTTTTAAGAAAATAAAATATAATATATTTTTAAAAATTAATTTAATTAAATTTATTATATAAAACTTTTTATAATAACTTTATAATTATTTATAATACTATTTATTATTAAAAATACCTTTTATATTAATATATTAAATTATATTTAATTAATTTAAATTAATATTATTAATTTATTAAAAGTTAAAGTTATTATAAATTATAAATTATTTAATTTTAATATTATTAAATATTATATATAATATTATTATATAACTTAAGCTTTTAAATTAATTAAAGTAAATAAAGATAAAGCTATTACTTTTTTAAAAGTTTTAACTTTACTTTATAAATAAATATTTATTAAATAAAACTATTTAAAAGTAATTACTTAATTTATTATATTATTAAATTAAAATATAACTTTTAAATAAAGTAATTATACTTTATTATTATATATAATATTTAAGTTTATAAATTTAATAGTTTTATAAAAGAAGAAATAATTATTAATAATTAAATTTATAATTATATAAAAGTAAATCTTACTTTAAAAAAGTTATTATTATTTAAGATAATTAATATATTTTTAAAAAGTTAAGAAATTATAAGTTTAATTTAAAATAAATTAAAATTTATAAAAATTTTAAACTTAAACTTAAAAGCTCCTTTTAAATTTAACTCTTTTAAATAAAAAATATTAAAAGGTTTAATAAAGATTTAAATAAAATTAAATAAAGTTATAATAATATAATATAATTAAATAAAAACTAATTATAAAATTATAATTATAAGTTTTTAACTTTATATTTAAAAGAGATAATTTAAAAGTATATTAAAAGGTATATTAAAAGTATATTAAAAGTATATTAAAAATATATTAAAAGTATATTAAAAAAGTATTAAAAGAAATATATACTTAAAGTATTAAAAATTAATAAAGAAAATTATTTTATAAAATTTTTTCTATTAATTTAAAAGTATTTATAAATATAAAAGAGTTATTTAAAAATAAATATTAAATAAATTTATAAAAATTATTAAATAAATAAATATTAAAGTTAAATAAATAAATATTAACTTTCTTTATATTAATTATTTATATAATAATAAAAGTAATTTTAATTAAAAAAATAAAGTTTTATATAAATAAAAAGTTAAAATTATATAAGAATAAAATAATTAATAATAATTAATAAGTATAGAAAATTAAGCCTATAACTTATATATAAAGTAACTTTATTTTTAATTCTTATATATATAAGAGAAGAAGGAGGAGAAGGACTAAAAGAAGAAGGAGAAGGAGGATTAAGAGAAGAAGGAGAAAGATTAAGAGAAGGGCTGTGAGAAGGGCTGTGAGAAGGGCTGTGAGAAGGGGCTTATACCTTAAGTATTAAAAATTTAGAGAGTCCTAGTTAGGTATATATTAAGGCCTCTAGGTGTAGGGTACACTCCACACACTTAGACCTACAAATTCTTTAAATTCACACTCACTTTAACATTAGTCACATTAATATATAAAGCTTAGAAGATTATATATTAAAGAAGGGTTTATAATTTATATAAACTTTATATTTTTATTTTCAAAGTTTCACATGCGGATTGGGCATAAGGGTTGGCTGGTGGAGGACATGCTATCACTCCGGGCAGGAGATGGACCTCACAAGGAGGGACGTTTCAGGAATTGGTCAGCCATGATGACCCCCGCTACCTTCACCGTCGGTATGGTGAGTGCTTCTCCAAAGCAGAAGCTTTACATTGGTGAAGCAAGGTAGTCTCGAGGAAGCGAAACGACAGAGTCTGGTCCTTACTTCAACCCCAAGTCCATAGCTTTCACATCTCCAGAGCTCTCCAACGGTCAATCACCGAGGTACACAAATCAGACTGCCTCACACTGGTACAAGAAAGAGATTACGCCCAAAAATCATAGTACGAGATAAGACACCAATATGACTGCAGAAAAAGATGGGTATCGATCCTTCAATCCGTTTCACTATCCACTAAAGCAATTAGACGAGTCAAGCCCGACTACCGCTAGCAAGAAGCTGAATACAATTTACGCACGCCCCTCCCCTTGATTCCCACCACGGACGAGAAGGCCATGCCATCCCCCTCCTCGCCCATTAGGAGCTCCTCGAGATTCTAGATATCTGAAGCGGCTTGAAAGGGGGTCGGGGGGAATTCGCGAATGTCCAAAGCCATTGTTTGAGCCAAATTTTGTCGGTAGGGACGCATCTCCAAAAGGACTGCCAAGGCATTGGGAAAAGACTGAAGGGTATAGGACAGGATTACGAACGCGCGGGAAGGAATAAGAATTGTGTAAAAAGGTTCAAATGTGCCACCTGGGGAAAACATATCGGCCGGGGCCGGGGTATTTGCAATTAAAAACATAAGGATAGATGCCGGATCCTCCTCAGTCGGACAGAAGAAGGCCTTGCGACTTGGGCAGCTCGGACGAGCCAGGATGCTCTGGGGCCGTCGAGACGTGTTGCTCTTGTTGATTTATCTGCGAAGCTAATGAAGTCGAGGGGCTCCTATGCCAGCTGGTTCACGTCATTGTTGCTGATCTTGGCGGTCGTGGCCTCCTCCATGCTGCGCAAGATTCTCAGATTCTGTTCGCGCATGTCACTGTCAAGAGACTCGAGCGACGCGCAGGTATGTCTCATCCTAGCGATCTTCACCATCACATCCGTTAGCACCGATCCTCCAGCGTGCCGTAATGCAGAACCAAGGGACTTGAGGAGCAGGGACATCGATAGGTGCAGGGAATGGAGGTAGACAGTGCAAGTAGCAAGGGGCTTTCGCACCAAAGCTAGTGCCGCTGAAGAATGGTCCGGCTCACCTTCCGCCGTGGCTCCAGTCGTCACTCCAGCGGCGGCGGCATCATCTCCCGTATCATCGGCGAATCTGCTAGCCGCTAAGCCCGTCCTTGTGGGCGTCTTGGGTGCTCCCAGAGCCTTTTAATTTACACGATGATGATCAGTGATCTTGTCGCATGTAGGCGTCCTGGGGGCGGCATACCTTGGCCTCTGCAAGTTCTGCCTCCCTGACCTTTAGCTGCGCCAGCAACTCCCCGATTTGCGATTCAGCCTTTTCGGCACGACCAGTGGCCTCATTCACAAGCTCCGTCATCGATTCGTGCATGTCCTTGTAGTCCGCCTCCGCCGTCTTCGCCCTTGCCGAGGCCTCCAACTTATGCGCTTCGAGCTCCTTGGTGGTCATCTCAAGATCGCCTCTGAGAGCCTCGAGTTGATCCGCAGCCTTTGCAGACTTGGCCTCGGTAGCGGACATGGCCTCATCGTACGCCTTCTTGTACTTCGCAAGCTCTTCTCTCAAGGCATCCAGTTCCGCTGTGTCTGCTGGAGTCCTGGGCTGCCTGTTGGCGTCGAGGTCAGCCTCGGCCTGGATCCTGGCGAACTTCTCGTTGGCGAGCTTTCCGCTCAGGTCATCGATCTCCTCCTCTGCCTTGGCCAGCTGCGACTTGATAGGCCCGAGCGCATTCTCGAGTTCAGCCTTGGACTGCGTGAGCTGGGATTCCAGCGCAGATGCATGCTGGTTCTTGAGCTCCAAAATTGCCTTCTCGTGGCTTTCCTTCAAAGTCTCCATCTCGTACTTGATATCTTCGGCTCCGCCGGCATGCTCGCTCTTCAGCCTGTCGATTGCCTCCGCGTTCGACGTGACCAACTTCTCGATCTCGGCGGAGTGTGATGCTATGAGGTCTCTCTTGGTGGCTTCGAGGGTTGCAGCATACTGCTCGTCCATCTCGCTCAGCCTGGCTCGCAGAACTGCAAGCTCTTCCGTGGACGACTTGGCGGTCTCGAGCTCCTTCCTCAACTGGTCGACTTCCGCAGCGTGCTCAGCAGACAGTCCCTTCTTGACCTGCTCTATCTGGCTCTCAAGTTCTGTGGCATGCTTGGAGTTGAGTTCAGTCTCCAGGTCGTGCAGCTGCTTGGACAAGCTCTGCACCTCTGTGGCGTGCTTTGCGTTCAGCTCGTTCTCGAGGTCCTGCAGCTGCTTAGAAATGCTCTGAACCTCTGTAGCATGCTTAGCATTGAGCTCCTGCTCGAGCTGGGCCAGCTGGGCCGCCTGGTCTCCTTGACCGGCGGTCTTCGTTGCTGCGAGCTCATCGGCGTGTGCTGCGAGCAGTTGCTGCTTCTCGGAGGCGCTCTTCTCGTTGAGGGCGTCAATGATCTCGGCGTGTGATGCCTTCAGGGATTCCAACTCCTTTGCAAGTGCCGCCTCGGCCTCGCTCTTGAGTATTTCAATCTGCTGGGAGTGACTGGATTTCAAGCCCTCCAGGTCTCCAAGTAGAGACTCACGCTCTGCAGAGACACCACTCTTGGCGGCCTCCAGCTCCATCGCGTGGTTGGCCAGGAGAGCATCAAGAGCCTTTTGGTGCTCCTCCGCCTTGGCCTCCAAGGATGCAACAGCGCTAGCGTGCTCAGCCTTCGCTGTCTCCAGAGCAGCGGAGGTGGAGCTGTGCTGGCCCTTGATTTCTTCCAGGGCCTTGCTGTGAGTCTCAACGGCTGCAGTATGAGTTTCTGACAACTCATTGTGCTTAGCCTCGAGCTCTTCGTACTTGCGCTTGTACATGGCCTCGCCTTGCAGGCTGTTGATCTCGTTCTCGTAGTCCGTGGTGATCTGCTTGAGATGCTGGTTGTGCTTGTCCTCAATGGCTGCGTGCTCTGACTGCAGCTTCTCGATCTCTGCGTCCTTGGTCTTCATCTCCTCTTCGAGTTTGGAGATGGCCTCTTGCGCCTTGGTGGCGGCCTCCTGGGCCGACTTCAGTTGGTCCTCCATGCTTTGGATGCGCTCCTCGAAGGAGTGAAGTTCGCTTGTCTTAGCCTCAAGCTCGTCCTTGGCGCTGCTGGCGCTCTTCTCGGCGGTCTCAAGCTTGGCCTTGAGGTCTGCAATCTCGGCTTGAAGAGTAGAGATCTGAGCAGCAGTAGCCGCGCTCTCGTCAGAGACCTTGGCTTCATGCGCACTCTCGAGCGCAGCTTGAGATGCCGTCAGCTCATCGATCTTGGCCTGGAGCTCGCCCAGAGCGGCTTCATGGGCGGCCTTTTGGTCTGCAAGAGCCTTTTCGTGGTCTCCCGAGGCGGCCTGGCCCTGCGCTAGTTCCTCGGCATGCTTCGATTGAAGCGCGCTCAGGGCTTCCGTGTGCTGTTCGCTGAGGGTTTGTTGCAACGCCTCAAGCTTGGATGCGTGCTCCTCGGTTGCCTTGGTCAGGTTGGCCTCAGTCTCGCTGAGCCTGGCATCGTGCTCGGCCTTGGTGGATTCGAGGGCCTCCCTGAGAGAAGCAACCTCGGCATCAGTGGCCTCCTTAGCAGTTGTCAGCTCGGACAACTCTGCCCTCTGCTTCTCGAGCTGCTCCTCGGATTGCTGGAGCTTCGCCTGGGCGTCTGCGATCTGGGCTATCAGGGCGTCGACCTCGGCCTTGTGCTTCTCCTTGACACTATCAAGCTCGTCAGCCAGCTCTTTGCGGGCAGAGTCGTCGGTGCCCGCCTCGGCAGGTGGGGCAGCGCCGATCTTCGTGGCAAGCTCAGCGATCTTCTCCTCGGACGACGAGATCTGCGCTTTGAGGCTTGTGATCTCTGTCTCACTATCTGCGAGCTTGGACTTGAGCTCCTCGATCTCCTTGGCAGACTCCGCGGCGGCGGCGGCATTGGAAGTAGATGGCGGCCGGGCTGCAGGCTTAGGCGCGCTAGCAGGCGCCGAGGAGACGCCGAGAGTTGACAGGCGTTTTTTGGCCTCTGCCACTGCCCCGGTTGCCGCTGGCCTCGTCGTAGTGCGGGTTGTGCTGGTGGAGCTTATGCTCGAGTCCTTGGTGTGACCCGAGGGCTTGGTTGCGGGCCTTGACGAGGACGTGGGCGAAGTGACGCTCGAGGATGATGCTGGTTTCCTGGCTGCTGTCGTCGTTGTCGAAGAAGTAGGCGCGGGCTTTGGCTTGGTGCCAGGCGAGCTGGAAGAGGTTGCGCTCGACAGGGTCGAAGTGCGACGGGCAGCTGTACCAAGAGTGGAGGTCCTTCGGGCGGCCTTTTCATCCTCGGACGCAGACGGCTGAGAACGCTGGCTGGAAGACGTGGCGGTTGTCGAAGTGCGCTTGGCGGCAGTCGAGCTCGCTGGCGGACGCGTGGGCGGCTTGCTCATCCCACCACCCGCGGCACTTGTTCGGGTGGAGCTTGCGGTGGGCTTCGTGGCGGTGGAAGAGGTGGTGGCAGGGCGCCGCGCAGCAGTCGTGGTAGTCCCCGGGGCAGGCTTCTTTGCTACAGTGGCGCTGCCCGCAGGTTTGGTCCCATTGGCAGCAGCCGGCTTCTTGACGGGAGCTGGCTGGGCCTTTTCGGCAGGGGCAGCAGCAGGAGCAGCATCAGGCTCGGCAGGCTGGGGCTTCTCGGCGGGAGCCTCCTCGTGCTGGACAACCTCGAAACCCTCGGCATCAGACATGATGGCTTACAGGCGGGCGTCTTTCCAGGTGCGGAGGTACGGTGGAGCGGGCTCGTATCTAGTCGTGGAGCAACGGTTAGCCGCGTGGCCGTCGCAGATCCAGGGCGCGTGGCCCGTCGAGCCGTTTGCGAAGGCGTCTCAGCACTAGCGCAGCTTTGGGACGAAGCTCGCGACGCTGGACGCGGCGGGGTAGAAGCCCGTAAAGACGGGGACGGAAGAGTGTAGCGACGTACCAGCTGTGCCAGGAGCTCAGGAACCCTCCAGATGAGAGTAAAGGGGGCTGGCTGGCTGCTTGGTTGCTGTGCAACGGCCGGACGGACACGTTGAGACGGGTTGCTTGTGGGGAAGCAAGCAAACCAGGGGATCCGGGCTGGGTCTCACGGGAAATCGCGGCCAAGCGGCATACAAAAGGGATTGGTGATGGTGCTGGAGTTTTTCTCTCGGTCCGGTTGACTTGCTTGCACCTCTCGAACGGTGTACAGTAGGAGAGGGAGAGAGAGGTATGGCAGACGTGTCGCGAGAGAAATTAAATTGGGCACCCAGAGAGGTCCCCCGAACGAGAGAGAGAGCAACCGCACCCTGAGCTGCCCTGCCCTGCCCTGCCCTGCACCCGCTGCCGCTGCGCTGTGCCTGGCCCAGCCTGTCAGTGCACGGGGCACAGGCTGGACAGGGGTGAGGTGGGAAGTGGAGGGGCCATGCAGGCCACGCTGTACTTATTACTGTACATCAGACCGATCAAATTGGTGGATGACATGAATGGCGCCAACCAAAACCCAGTGGCTCCCCTACAATGTGCCTGGCTGCTGCACCGCCAGACCGCGTAGCCAGGTAGCCTACCGCACCTTGCTCAAGCTTGGGTACTAGGTAGGGTGCAACGGGTGTCAAATGAGATACTAAATGTAACCTGGGCTGGCCGACCTGCCAACCACACCTAACCATTTGCTGCACTAGAAGCTGATCCCCATCTGAGCTTGGGCGTTGTCTTCCAACCCCAAAGCGCTTCGTGGCGGCGTAGCAGCGTGGATGGCTGGCTGGCCGGCTGGATGGCTTGTCTGGGAGATGAGCGCGGAGGGATCCCGTACGAGATGCTCCAACAACCAACGTCGCCTATCGCATCTAGCCGTTATCTGTGCTGCCCGGGCGTGTCAGATCTCCAACACATCTTGCTCCTCCTTCTCCCTCACCAGTAGAGCCCACCTGGAATGCACAATCCCGGCTACTTGGAAACGGGTTTGAGGGGCCTTCGCATTGATCATAGCGGGCGGTCCTAAGACCCCTCAGGCAGGGAGCATGCTCGGCAGACAGGCCGAGAACTGAGCTCCGGTCCAACGCACGGGACGACGAGAGATTGCTGCCGGCCCCTGCGAGTCAGTAGTCTAGACTGCACACTATCCGTACCCTAGGGTACGGAGTACTGGTGACGACGCCAGGTTACTCGCCGTCCCCATACGACGACACTGCATTTTCTGACTTGTCGAATGTGCTGCTTGGATCGTCTGCAAAAGTCCACAAAGGGCGTCAAGATTACTAGCTCTAGTAGGTTCGCCTGTTGTCGTGAAAGCGAAACGAGCACCAATCGGTGCCCCCCCCCCAAGGCAAGGTAAGACAGCACGCAACAGGATGTGTTTGTCCGCCTGTTCGCAGTCTCTAATAGAAGGCTCTCTTGCAAACGACCTGGATTACAGTTGCACAAAGCTCGGCTAGTGGTCGGGCAGTGATGGGCTAGTACGATCAGTATGCCTATTATGGGTATCGAGTATTAAAAGAACTTCAATCGGCGCATCCCAATTTCTGCAATTGAGTTAGACGGCCCAGTCGGGAATTGGTCGGTGTTGCTGTGTGTAGTAAACACGATAGCTGTCCTTCAGGAACGCGGCCATCATCGCAACATCGCGCTCGGTGCGTCGCAGCTTTTGCGCCATAGATGTCACATCGTAATTCTTGTCGTAACGTATGGCCTTGGTCAGGATTTTAAACTCCTTAGACGATGGACTGCTTGTGTTGTTCGCTTGCTCCGAACTGGCCCGATAATTGGCCTCAAAGGGGTCATCCGACTGATAGACAGGCTGAGCCTGAGCAGTCCTAGATGGACTGCCTTGAGGACGAGCTGCTCCGCCCGAACTCTGGCTGTGGACCCCCGACCTTCCGCCCTGTGTACGGAAATGCTCAGGCAAGCGCTGTTGACTCTGGACCCACAAGTCTCTCAACGGTTGTCTTGATCTCAAAGCATGCGTGCTCTGGATAAAGGCGTCCATCTGCCTCTCGTCCCTTATTCTCTGCTCCTCTTGTTTTCGCTTCTGTTCGGCTTGACGCACCCGTTGTCGCTCGTATTCACGTTCTCGGTGCTGACGCTTCATTTCAGCCTCGCGTTCTCTTCGCTCGGCTTGTGCCGCCCTGTCCTGTATCTCTCTTTCGGCTCTCCTGCAAGCATAGCGCAGAGCATCCAACTGCGATCCGAAAGTCTCACGTGATTTCTGAAAATACTGCGCCTCAGACCCGACTTCATCAGGATCATCGTCGCCGGTCCGTAAATCTTCATCAACACACCTTTCGTGTGCCTTGTGGAGTCTATCAGCCCACCCGAGAGGTCGCAAAAAGAACTGAAGCCTGAAGCAGTCGAGATGGAGGGTCGTCTTTGATCGGTTGTCTTCCGATGGACATATGCCGCATGCCTTCTTCACGGTGATCATCAACATGGGAATCAATCGTTGTGACAAATCCCTGAGCATCGCTTTTCTCCTCTTGACAGCTTGCACTCTGGTCCGGGAATCTCCAGTGTGTGGTACTGGACGCAGTTTCTGGCGACAAATCCCATCGACGATCCTATCCATGCGAGTGAGGTGTTGCTGAACGTCCGCGCTTCTCGCCCTCAGGCACTCAATAGCTGCTGACGTGACGTCGTGGTCATCTTCGGATCCCTCCTCCGAAATGTGAGTGGCCTCCTCCAAGATATTGTTCAGGCCCTGTGCCTCCTCCATCAAGTCTTTCCCGGAGCGTGTTTTGCAGGTTTTCTGGCCGTCCTTGTTGTCTTCGCTCGCAAAATCGTGGTTCCAACGGGTTGAATTTGTCCACGCAGGGTGTTGCAATGTTTTAAAAATTCCGCCCATACTGTTGATGAGGACCTGGACCGTCTCGGTCTCCTCGTCTTGCTGAGGAGCTTCGACATATGCCGTATCCTCGGCAGCTTGGTCATCGATTTCAGTTGAGGACTCATCCTCACTCTCGTGCTCCTCACTCTCGTGCTCCTCAGGGGTGTATGCATGCGTGTCGCTCTGTTGGCTTGGCCTGTCACGGCCTTTGCGGCTCCGCTGGCTTTGTGCCTTGGGTGCCCCGCCGGTTGCGCCATACCCTGTCCTAAACCTGTCGTTGATAACTTCTTCTTGGTTTTTCTCTCCGATGTCCGATGACGCTTCAGTATGCGGAGGCTCCTTGTTTCGCCGCAGCGAGCCAATGCCATTGATCGTCGGCTTCCTAGGCCCATTCCGCGCTTGATTCATAGCTTGAGTGATCCGGGCATGGTTGACTTCATATGCATCATCATCGTCCTCCTCGTCCTCATCATCCTCGTCCTCACCCCCGCGCGTTTCGGACAACCGCGCGTTTCCCCGCCGAGGCGAGGCCCTTCTGGCTCCGGCTTGCTTGGTTTGGCTGAGCTTATCAGCCTCACGCCTCATACGCCTGGCCGTACGGTCGTCTATCTGCTCTCCTAGATCCTCGGATGCTGGATTCCGGTCATTGCGGCCATTATTGAGCTTCTGTCTCTTGACAACAGACCTGTCAAAATAGTCCAGATTGGCGACTTCCTCGGCGGCATCAAGCTGGACCCGCGCAACTTCTCGCGTGCGGCGCCCTTTAGGCATCTTCCCTGTTGTGCAAGCCCAATCTGTGTCCTAGGGACACACGTGGTGTCGACTTCGAACAAAATGTCAAGACATAAGACCAGGGGGCTGTTTCAAAAATTGAATCGCACAATTCGAGATGTGTTGCTGCTGCTTTGAATTTGGTGTTGAGGGGAAGGTTGCAATGCAAGCTCTCACAACGATACCAAGGTTAGACAGCGAAGGTTGGGCCCTAACCCTGTTGACCGTACCCGGACCCTGGTTTTGTCTCCAGCCAGATATGACCTCACCCCCTGAAGCTTTGAAATGGCAAGCTATGAACTGCCACTTGTTTACGGGCCGCATCCTGCATTATTTCAACTGCACATCTATCTTCCTGAAACTTGCACCTGACCTCACATTCGAATACTTTTCGGTGGCCATTTATTTGCCTTGGAGCTTCAGGCCCTATCAAGCTGTTGTATGCAGCACAACTCACAAGTGCCTGTAAGGCTGAGCAGTACCGGGACACAGGCGCAACTGCTTGATATCCTCACGGCGGATAGCAACCCACGACCTTTGACCGAAGACTCAGCGTCCGCTCTTCATGGATCCTCCAAAACAAGCCTCCGGGCAGCAATCGGCTACCCTTCCTAAACTGGAGGTTCTCAGCCCATCCGCCCCCCATAGCTTCTCCGCGCCGTCCAAATGCATCAACGACGGGCCAGATGTCGCACGCTTCCTCACCTCGAAAGCCTACCGCGACATCGGTGTCTTCGTGATGCAGCTCAACCGAGCGCTCTGCCCACGCAAGTCACCCAGTGGGCCCTCAAAGACATTTCCCCTTGTGGGAGGGAAGCGGCAGGACACCGCCGCCGTCTGCAGGCTGAGAGAATTGCTGGACAGGACAAGCAGATTCATCGATGATGCGCCTCCAGACCCTGGTCCGAGGAGGTTTGGCAACATCAGTTTTCGCAAATGGTACCAGCTACTAGAGGACAACGTCGATGCCCTGTTGAAGGAGTTTGTGAGCCCCGATATCATCAACTTCGGAGCACCGGGAGACGCCGCAGCCCATGATTCCGGTGCGAGCGGCGAAGGCAGCCAAAGCCCACTTGCTGTGAGCGAGCTGAAGGCGTACTTTCTCGGGGCATTTGGCAGTCCTCAAAGGTTGGACTACGGTACGGGACATGAGCTGAGCTTCTTAGCCTTTCTTGGCTGCCTGTGGAAGCTCGGGGCTTTTAAAGACGGTGTCCAGGGCGGCGAAATTGAGCGCAGCATTGTTCTCGGTGTCTTTGAACCGTAGGTCGACTCTTGCTTTAGTTTTTGCACCCTGCTAACAGTGTCCAGTTACATGGAGGTGGTCCGCCGTCTCATCCTCACATATAATCTCGAGCCAGCAGGTTCGCATGGTGTCTGGGGACTCGACGACCACTCCTTCATGCCATACATCTTTGGATCTGCACAGCTCACCCGCCCAATCACCGAGGACGAGGCCATGCCCCTTGAGGGCTCCGTCGAGCGGGCTCCGAAACCAGGTGACATCCTCAAGCCCGAAGCAGTAGAGCGGCTCCGTGAGTCAAACATGTATTTTTCCGCCGTCGGCTTCATCAACGATGTCAAGAAGGGTCCCTTCTGGGAGCACAGTCCCATCCTCTACGACGTGTCTGGCATCAAAGACGGCTGGGGCAAGATCAACAAGGGCATGATCAAGATGTTCAACGCCGAGGTCCTGTCCAAGTTCCCCGTCGTGCAGCACTTCCCCTTCGGCTCTCTATTCTCGTGGGACGTCGACCCGGAGGCATCGGCGCCCCAACAATCTGTCCACATGGCGAACCAGCCAGTGAGCGCCGCTCCACCATCGCAGTCCGCTGGCACGGCTGCGCCTTGGGCTCAGGCAACGCGCATGCCCGGGCCACCAGGACCGGGCATCCCTTACTCCAGGGTACCAGGCCCGGCTCCAGGTGGCAGAGGGATCAATGAGGCGCCGCAGACCGTGAGGTCCCAGGGCGCGGGACCACCGCCACCGCCCGGGCAACCCCGGCCGACCGGACCACCTGGCACGGCTGGGAATCAGATCACTGTCACAAAGGCACCGTGGGCAAAGTAGACAGAGATAGCCATCTAAATGCAGCATTACGTTTACGAACAGCATGGGTCTCCTATTCTTCTAGTGACATCTCAGTACCCACTCGTGTACCCAAAGAACACTTTCTGGCCGTTTCCTGCTGTGAGAATTCTGGCAAGAACGATACTCCTGGTGAATAAGAGGGTTTTATAGGATGAGCACTTGTGGAACTATACCCACTGTCCTGAAATATAAGCATATGTGAAGATCGCATTCCGAAGACCTCCCCTGTCCCAGGCAACTTGAGTCGAATGCCATTCAAGTCGATTCCCGCACAATCACAAAGCACGTCTCGTTTCACAACGCACGGTACGTAGAGTAGGACGACAATTTGAATGCAATCTGGTATATTGAGGGTATCTATTCAACTCTGAGGGTGCAACTCAACAACGGCACTGTTACTAGAAGAAGAGAATGAAAACAAGAACAACATGAATCCAGACGAGTTTCCATGCCCAGGAAAACCAAGTCCCCATCCATAGTTCCGAGACACCACCCATTACGCACCCCGATTCCGCTCTCTCATAATGTGACAAGGCAACCAGAAAAAAGAGGGGGAAACAAAACACACAAGCCCCGCGCTTATTCCACGGGTAGTGGCCAAGCCAAGCAGTCCTTTCGACGCCGCTCACTTCAAACAACGCTCGCAGTATCAATTACTTAGCAGTCTCGGTGGCAGCAGGCTTGGCCTCCTCCGCGGGCTTGGCCTCCTCAGCAGGCTTGGCCTCCTCAGCAGGCGCAGCGGCCTCAGCGGGCTTCGCGGCCTCGGTAGCAGCAGCCGGGGCGGCAGCAGGAGTGGCCTCGGTGGTGGTCGCAGCAGCTGGTGCTGGTGCCGGAGCAGCGGCGGCGTCAGTGGCAGGGGCAGGCACAGCCTCGGTAGCCGCGGGCTTGGTCTCCTCGGCCGGCTTCGCTGCCTCGGCAGCCGGGGCCGGGGCGGACTCGGTGGTTGTTGTTGCTGGGGCGGCAGCAGCAGCCGGTGCGGCGGGAGTCTCTTCCTTCTTGGGCTCCTCGGCCGGCTTGGAGGTGTCGGCTGTGGTGGCGGGCGCGGCTGATAACATTAAGATATTAGAACACTGCTAAGTGTGGTGTTGTTACTGTTTGTGTAGTTGCACTTACCAGCCGGGGCAGTCTCGGTCTTGGCTGGCTCCGTGGCAGCAGTGGCAGCAGTAGCAGCAGCGGCTGGAGCTGTCTCTGCTGGCTTGGATGGCTCGGCAGGCTTGGACTCGGCCTTCTTCTCGTCCTTCTTCTTGAAGACGGCCTTGAACTTGGCCTTCAAGTTGTTGAGCGCGTTTGGTGCTGTTGGGGGCAGTGCTTGTCAGAATTGAGACGAATCGGGGTGTATATCTGGGCAAGCAGGAGCAGAAGGAGGGCGTGGCGTGGCATTGGAGGGTTGTCACGTCACACGGTGTAACTAGGCATCTCCCCTCCCGCCTCTGTTGACGGCGTGGTTGCCGGTCGATGAGGAGGAGGTTGGCGATAAGGTTGCATGGCACTTACGGACTCCAGGCATCTTGGCAAACTCGTCTGAAGGTCAGGCTCGACTGTTCAGGCTACAGTGTAGATCTGGGCGATGCGTGTGCTGGCGTGGGGTGTTGATTCGTGAAAGCTCGAGAAATGCAGTGGTTGTGGATGTGGTTCGGTGGGATCTTGTTGGGTGGTCGTCGAAAGATGTTGGAAAGCGGGAATGGGTGGAAGCTAGTAGTAGAGTGCCACGCCGAGAGACACGTCTCTGATAGCACCAACAGATCGGATAATTTGCGAGATTTGATTATGGGATGCTCCGGCTAATCAAAGAATCCTTGGAGATTGGTTTCAGTCGCACACCCCCGAATCCCCGGGGGACATGTTGAACGAGGGCGCCTCCAGCGCGATAACCCTTGGGGAGACTCGGCTAAACCCCCCGGGGTGAGGAAGGAGGGGGGGGGCGCTATCGAGCACCTAATTAGCTAGTGGGGCCGCGTTGGCCTGTGCTGGTGGCCTTAGCGCCTGGGTGCCCTGAAGCTGCTAAAGATAGAAGCAACGGCCCACCAGAGCTCCAACCTTAATTGGCGTTCAACCATACTCTGGCGCTCGAGACGTCATCCCCCCTACACACGTGTGCTGCTGCAGACATCAGACGAAAAGCTGTCATACGAACCGAGTTTGACAAGCAATGTCCAAAACGTCGAGGACACACGAGGCATTGTGTCTGAAAAATGGACAAAAGGCACAAGCAGCCTGGATCTAGATCTACATTGAAAATAGTGTGTTGTCGATCGCACATGTGGGTACCTAGGCACTGACTGGCGTAAGAATGCCCAGGTTGAGAGGTTTCGTGTGGTTTCGTTTTTAATCCCCATACATATAAAATGTACGTGGCGCCTTCATACAGTGTCAAACGGTCAAGACCGGTATTATCTCCTCTTGGGTCCTGAAGATGCTTCAACTCGGCTGTCCTGTCAATTGATCTAATGAATCCAAATAGTCACTGTAGAGGATCTCGTTGGTTGTCAATTCCAACAGCCCACACCAAGATCCATGAAATGAGCTTTACTACTATTCTTCAAATGCTTATTTGGCCCGATTCTGGAATTTTTGAAATGCAAGCCTGTGCACAGTTCAATCCTCACACAACAGAGCATAGTGGAGGGCTAGGAATAAAAGGAAAAGGTTTTCATAAAGATTACTCCAGGCCTGCCACCTCAAGACGAGATTGGTGTGATTCTTGGAAATTCTGTTCACCATGCCGTCATAAGACAAAGGATTGATTCACTCCAAACGAGAAAAGCTGGCGTTGTAATTAAGGAGTTCCAGTGAACAAAGGACACATGCTTTAAGAGGAAGGTGATTAATTGATGTATTTTAGGGCAGTACAAACCTTTGATTGATATAAAACAAGACTACCTACCTTACCATGACGTAAGACTTACCCAGAAAATTGTTTTCATCCCTAGTTGAGACGGGGGCAACACTATGACGGCTTCACCGCCTCAAGAGTAATCAATGATGATGTCCATTCCGTGGAGCTCGTGGAGCTCAGCCGCCTCGGGCTTGACTTCCAGCTCAGCTAGAGGCGCGTTTTCCATGACGGTGTCGGGGTCCTCAACGGTAATGAACACCTCAGCTGAGTCGAGCTCGGGCACACCAGGCTCCACCTCTATCTCTGGTGCGTCGACCATGATCACATCCATATCGACACAACCAACGTCAATAGATTGTGGCATGCCCAGCATATCATGATCCAGATCGGCGTGATTAGCGACTGTAGCCAGCTCTGCAACAAAAGATGTTTCACCCACTGGGAAGATTTGATGGGAAAGGGGTGAAGACCTCGCCAACTTGGACTTACCACTTGCAGTCATGGCAGGTAGTGGATTTCTGTGGATGGTTGACATGGTTGTTATGTGACCTGCAATTCCGCTCCGCGCAATGTCAGTGTTAATTTGCTTCAACTTCTTAAACGTCTTAGCAGAGTGGACTCCAAGATTCGAATATATATATATGTGTGTGTGTGTGTGTGTTTCTGAGGATTGAGATATCTAACTCTACATCTGAGCAAGAGACTGGCTTATGTACTATCTGCCCTCGAGCTCGCCAAGTGGTTCTGGGCTCTATATTAGCCCACTTGTGCCGTTTTGTAGAGAACAATGTCCTCATAAATATGGTATTAGACCATAAAGAACAACGACTTTGATTTTTGAAAGGAGCATTATACAGAAGCCCATTGTGTACATCTCGGCCAACTAGTGTTCAAAGAACTGAAGGTTTACGGCTCTATTGCTCGAGCCGTCATGCCAAGTGTCAATCAAGGGCTCTTAGCGCCGTAGTCTTTTGTTCCTTCAGAATCAAAAACGATGATGAGGCCTTACCTACCCTAGGGTACTTTACACCATGGATGTCCAAGTCTGGCCATCAGCACGGCAAGATAGGCCCAGGAAGTATTCAATTTGTTAGCCGTTTCTCTTTCTTAAGAAAACATCGCAAAAGGGAAATGGGGAAAAGATAAGAACCAATTCTCCGTCAAGGTCTGCGGGTTGCATCTCGTTGGGATTCACTCGAAGCCCGTGAAAGCTTGTCACATCGAGCATGAAATTTCCTGACAAACAAGTCCTAGATAAATGGGCATGCCCATATTCCGAGCGCTCATTGTTTGCTTGACATAATTTTCGCCCCAAAATCCATTTCGGGTTATATTACATTCTAGCTCACCTCCGTCCCCTGCTTGCTTGTTATAGGCGTAAAACCACGCATGAGCCCTTTTCCCTCTTGTTCATCCAAACATAGCTGCCCACTGGTGCCAGAGAAACATGAGAATTAACAACAAGCCGGAAATTTTGACCTCGTATTGAATCATGCTTGACTTTTTGGTACTGTGTCAGAACCATTTTCTAGCGACTGACTCTCAGGCTGGCTGCGATGCTGCCAGGTGAGCCTGAGCTGTCGATACGCAATAGCAACCCCGCCAAGGCTGAGCATTATGCCCACAACGCCGAATATGATAGCGGTGGCATCTACTCCATTGTTGGAGGGTTGATATGGGGTGGTTGCCAGAGCAGTCGTGATGAGAACAGTAGTGTTTTTTGTCGACAATGTGAAGATGGGCATCTTGCTTACTAGTAGTTTGTGCAAGCGTGGGGTTTCTTGTGATTCTTCCTGTTCCAGATCTGCTTGAAGACGGAGGTAATTGCAGGAACTTAGTAAATGTGAAAACACGGGGACTGTTGAAGAAGAAGTCCGTTCGACTCGAGCTGGACCCTACGAGTCCGGTTCTCTGTCTAGATATATTGCAATGATAATTGCGAAGTCTGCGAAATGACAAACCGATTCACAGGTATGCCTGACAGGTATCTCGCGGGCAACTAAACTCGCACGCTATGCACAAGTGAATACCTACCATTTGTTGTGACAATTATGCATACCGCAGATTATATTGGCCTCGCAGAACTCGCAGCTTGACCAGTACATATGGACAGGAGCAACTGCACCGTTTACAGACTGGACTTGAAGTGGCGTTTTGGGGGCGCTTTGCATGCATTGCTGCGCCTCCCATTCGCCCAACCCCTGCTTGATTTGTGCAGCAAGTGCGCAGGTGATTGATTACAATACAGCAAATCATGTACCGGGGGTCAGACCTTCGATTGCCCTCTGCGCCAGCAGTGGGTAAGCAGAACCGAGACCCACAGGTGTGCCGCGCAGACCTCGCAGACCTCGCAGATCTCGCGCATTTCGCACGTCCCGCACCCGTCACTCAGACTTGGCAGACACATGGGATGTTCTTCTTAGGGAGCAAGGCTCCATACTCCGCCCGCTCAACTTCTTCATCAATATCAAACAGCAATCAGTCATCTACTTCAAACGCTCATACCTTGGTGCCTAGGTGGTGAGGGCAACTCAGAAATGACTCTAATTGCAGATTGTTGATGCTTGGGCACTTAGATTCGTCAGAGCCTTGCTGAGACTCAACCTCGAGCAAAAGCTGGACATATATCTTATCTTTGCTTTCTTCCCCTTTCGAAAGCAGTTCATAACTATCACCTATACTTAACGTTCTAACGCCACAACGAGAGTTAGCCCTCTTTCAGCTTGCCATCAACTGATACTGCTTCAAACTCTCACAGGTGCACAGTATGGAGGACCGGGGAGGTCATCCCTCGGAGTCCCCCGGCCTACTCCCGAGAAAAAGGGCGAAGTCATTGAATCTGCAGAAATGTAATTTTTGCAGAGATAGGAAAGTGAAGGTAAGCAAACTCTTGGATCTCTGATTGCTACCTATGTAATTACTGTGCTCGTCACGTTCTCCTTTACAACTTGGCGCGTCACTGAAAGGTGCGCTCGCAGTGCGAGCCCCAGAATCGACAATGGCCCGACATGTGCAACCATTGCCAACGGAGGGGAGAAAAATGCAGCCCGCCCAGTTTTGCTACGCGAAAGCCAAAAATACGACATGAGATAGGCCCTGCTAGGAGTCATTCCGTTTTCCCTTCTCACGAAAGCATCACCGAAGGCTCCACCACGCTACATAGGGAAGCAACCTTGAGCAGCGGAGGGATCAACATGACAAGTCCAGGAATCGCGGATAGTGTAGAGCAGATGTTTCAGCACATGTGAGTATCATGACTGAAACAACTGTATTTCGAATGCTCACAGTATTCGAAATATCAGCAGGGACATCACGACAGTTTTGCGCTGCTATCACATAGAGCATAATGTCGAGATAAGCCAGTCGAAATGGCTGGAAAGCTATTTTCACAACAACGAAAACATCGTTATCGAGAAGCAGGACTACGTCGGGCATTTTTCCAAAAGACTGCGCGCTATGTCCCGTATCCGAAATCTCGCGGCACAGCATGTCAGATCACTGCTTCAGACACACACGCACTCATCGATGGAGCGCGCCTTGATATGCCAATTGCTCGTTGACCTTGAGTCATCATCCAGCATCTTTACCTCTAGCTCGTGTGCATTCTATCGTCAAGAGGATACGGAATGCACGCCTGACATATGGCAACTAGCAGTTGCACTTCACAAGAGCGGAGACTATAACGGCTCCCTGATATTATTGCAACGAATGCCACTTGCCCAGATTGGTGGGAGAGAGCTCAGGATGATGCTGCAAATTGGTTCTGATCTCTGCACCCGGTTACGAATGATGCCAGACGTACTGGGAATAGGCGACGAGCTGAGGTGCTTGGATGTCTTTGAACATATGGAACCGCTAGTCCTTCCATACAGTATTTTGGCTACACACTCCCATCAACCTGGACACAATGAAATGTTCATAAGTAAATCTTTCATATGGCCTTGGATACGGACTGCTGTCTTGGAAGACGCACGGGATCAGTTTGACACACCCGTGAACTGGAAGCCGACGAGCCTGGACCCCGACTTCCGAGACGCA